AGCACAGTAGCGTTTCCAACTTGGCTTGCACACATTTCCATATTTGTTGGGAGTGTTTTTATTTGTTATTATGTATTGGCTACACTTCTTCCACGTCCAAAAATCTCTGGGGGGGCTTGGTGCACATCTTTTCCCGCCGAGATTTGCGCCTGTGTCTGCGTCGCAACACTGGCTGTGCGGACCTGAGCCGTTTGCCTCCATCAACCAGATCCCCGCAAGAGTGGTCACATGAAATGAGAACAGCTCTCAACATTAGTTTTGAGACCCGCTGGATTCTCTTTCAGCAACCAGTAAGAGGATGGATGTCGCTTTAGTCGAGCCAGATCAACCGCGAAGTGCCCGGCTGGCTTTAGGGCTGGGCGGCCATTATACCACAAACCAACGAGCAAATGAGCCAAAAGGAGAGTCCAAGCACCAGCCAGGCACAGGGTTGCTTATCGCCTCCTCAAACTTTACTTGCTTTAGATTGGGGTGCCATAGCTGAACGAGACCATATTTTGGGCTGGCTTTGGAAAAAAGGACACGCGTTTCAAGGGGCCGAGCTCCGAGGCGCGTCGCCGATTGTTTGGAGGAGAGCTTGGAGGGTGCCGGCACTGAGAGCTGGCGAGCACGTGGCGAAGGGAAGTTGGAACCCCCAAAGAACCTCGTGATATTGGCCCCCTGTTTGGACACGTGGCAGACATCGCTACGTAACTTGTAAGCCCGGCGAGGCAAAGGAGCAGTTCCTCTGTAAATTGACAGAAACCCAGAAGGGAGCTCCGTTTCTCCACAAGGAGATTCTGTTCTCAGCAATGGATGGGTTTGTTGGGTTCCATATAAATTTGCAGGAGGGCAGTAACCCATGATAAGACAAGCGCTTGCGTGGGGTTGCAAGAGGATAAGCTCGGCCAAGCTAACCACTCAGCGGTTCTCCCACACCATCCCAGTTTTCTGGGTCCGGGCCTTGTGATCCCCTTTGAAAGGAACAACGAAGGTTTGGTCAGGATTTCCCCGAACACGATCCCGTTGTATCCTTTGAAGATGGCTTCTCCTGAGCATGGCTCCAGCCGTTTCGGCGTGTAGGTCCTGTTTCGCGTAAAGGTGCTTTATTGAATTCGCCATGGGCTGCTGCCAGAGCTGTGTGACGTGCCGGAGGAGCTGCTCGCCGACCTCGGTGCTGACGTGGCGCCGGAGTTCGCCTCCCACTGCGAGGCGTACTCCAGCGCGCCGCCAGTGGGATCCGAGCACCCCTGCTGGTGCTGGCACTGGATCTGAAAAGTGCAGAAGCGCCACGCAGAAGGCAATGTAATTTTCTGCACCGTTTCCAACATTGTTTTCTGAAGATGTTGGAAACGGTGCAGAAAATTAGACTGGGTGGACACGTACGGAGCCGGCTCATATGAACTGAACAACCAAAGAGCTAGTGAGCTCAAGCTGCCAAGGGAGTCCTTCAAGACCATTCTTGAAGGATTCCCTCGGCAGCCAGCAGCCTGAGCCTGAGCCGGCATAGTTGAGCGTCAATCCATCCTCGCACACAACTGCCACTGGGCCACAGGTGTCGCTGGGAGCGGCATGCCCTTGTTGGTATGAATTTCCCGGTGCACGTTGTTTTTTTATGCCATGAAGGCATGTCTGTTGTCGATCCAGCGCTTCTCACCAAGTGATGGGGCGACTCGCAGCCACTAGGCTTCAGCTCAATGTGGCTTAAGCCTGAAGAGTTTGCGACATCTTTGAAGGTTCCTGTGTGGTTTGGCAGGCTGTGGCCGATTGCTTTCTAGCAAGTCCTCGACGGAGAAAATCGGGCTGAAGTTTGATTGAAGTTGACTTGCTTGACCTTTTGGCCTTTTCTGGCATCTCTTCTGACAGCATTTTATGTTTCGAGATTCGTAAATATGGACCAGGATCACGCAGCAAATAATTGGGGAACAAAAGCTGACGTAGAAAATATTAGTATGTAGTTTCGATAGCTGGGCGACAATCAAAAGGTTCTGGGCAAACAGGATGCAACGTTTCAAAGGACCTCCGCCGCCAAAGCAGGGAGAACAAGAATCACGCTTCGCTGAATTAGATGTTCGCAAACCATGGAGTCACTGGGCTGCTATTGCTCTTTGTGGCTTTCTGCTTGCGTGGCCATGGCAAAAGGACATCCCCTGTCAGTTTTTCCAACTATACCCAACCCACGATAGTGACACTGTGTAGCGGTCCAAAAGTGGCCATTTCCGCAGGCCTTTCTCTTGCTTGTAGGGAATGCAGGGATGACCTGCAGACAAGCCAGTGGGGCTTTGGAGGAAAACATGCTCAATCCCATGCTCCCTGAGAACCAGCAACTTTGTTCATGTCGATGAGCCCAAAGCCTTTGAGGCCTCTTGCTGGCAAGGTGGCCGGGCGCCTGGTGAGGTTCGCTTGGAGCAATGCGTACAGCCAGCAGACTGCATGTTGATTCTATCTTTCTGAGGTGTCAGCGGCCATTCTGATATCTTTGTGGCTGATCTACATTGGCCTGCCGGAGCCATACGTGACGTCGTTATGTGATCGGTTGCCATGATTTGTTTGCCACAATACCCGCTGCAGGTCATTCATGAAGATGGAAATGCCATCATAGAGTGCATGCGGCCAACTCAGCTTGCGAGTCGCCGCCCGGTCCCTGTGCCCAAAAGGGTCCCAGAATGGACTTTATTGGACTTTATTGGGCCTAGGGTATTGAAAGCCATGTGCGATGTGTTGGTGACCGAGATAGGTCTGCCGAGTCCGACCTGATCTTGAAGGTGCGCTCGATGTCCCGCGATTCGAGCCTCATGAGTCCAAAGCGGGAATCTGTCCATTGGGCACCCCCTTTTTGTGTTCAATATGCAAAATTCACAAAAGCAGCCACCGCTTTTAGTTGGGGGAGGGGAGAGGGATGTTCATCCGACTTCAATCACTCACCTTCCCAGGACAGCTCGACTTGGCTTGACGCCGGCAGCTCAGAGAGATGCCACACGCAGGCCCCCTCGGCCAGGGCCAAATCCTCTTCGCACTGTTAGGCATCTTATCCCAGTCAGAGGGTTTCATTGGCCCAAAATTGGTGCGACGTGGATTTTGTCCATGCACAGAACGGTTCTACTCGCGTCTAAGTTCTTTCCACCCTCCAACCACCGCGGCGCAGGGGTTCATAGGATACAATTACAACTATATACATGGTTTCCCTGAGAGCTTGTGGTTTGGCGGGGTAACGGACACCATCTCAGAAACTGAGGGATGCTCCTTCGGCCGTTCCAGATGACCAAACAAGGGCCAGCCATTGGCTTTACGGTTGCCTTTGGTTTCCCTTCTCCGGTGGCAATGAATTGTGACCAAAACTCGAACATTGTTGCATGCATCCCCACAATGTCCGGCACAGGGTCCAGATTGAAATAGCTCCATGCCCCTTACGATTTTAATCCCGCGCTCCGAACAAACATATTTTCCCACCTTGGCCATGTGCATGAGACCCTATCAGAGATTTGGAATCATGTTGCCATGGATCATCAACAAAGAAGGCCGGAGTGGTGTGGTTACCATTGACTTACCATTTTACGTTTTGTTGTAGCGGCCTCTGATGGTTTCCATGGCAACGGGAGACTTGTGAGGGCCAATACGTACCATGGTCCAACTACCGTATCACTTGGACCTTTGAACCAAAGCTTTTTGGGCGCAGTTCAACCTCAATCCACTGCCTCTTCGGTTCATCGCCTGAAAACCGAGGCGATTTTTCTTGGAGGGGACGCACGCGCCCCTCCGGGGTTATCTCACCTTTTTGGACTGTCTTATCACCGGGCCCGTTAAAGGGAACTGTTTCGGGGAGCCTCCAACAGTCACATTCGGGGCGGCAGAATGGTTCTTCTTCACCATCAATTTTGAAAGAGTGGCACTTCATTGGAATGCTCTTTTTTTCATGGGGGGTACTTCTGAGAGTATCACTTTAATGGGCCCAATTATCAAGTCTTTCCACACGGTCAGAGACCGGCCTTTGGTGGCTGGGGAGACGAGTTGCATCAAGTTGCATCGAAGTTGCGCGCGAACGCGCGGAGCGGAGGCAAGGGGCCGCTTTGAATCAAAGACTCCCGAGGGCCTTTTGTGGCAATGCGTGGTAGGGACCCCTGATGGCTGATTTCAGGTTGCTTTGAGAAGCTACTCTCTTGCGCACACATACACAGACACAGGCACAGACTTGGTTGGTTGCAAGATCGTTCAGGTTGTTGGAAGACGGGCACGCATTGTGTGTGTGCCGGGGTTTCCCTACCGGCGCGATTTTTTGACGTTCGATTGGATTTCAAGACTTGAGGACAGATCCACGTTTCACTGGTGAAGCTATGCACTGCACGCCCCGACCTCGCGACAAACCTGTGAAAAGCCATGCCTTTGGATGTTATCGAGAGATTGTAGCCATAGTTCTGAGTGGGACAAGAGGGGTCGCTCCCTAAAGATATTCATGGTTTATAACCTGACTGCGTGGCCTGAACATCCGAGTTGAACTCGGGTGGATTCATGTGGCGTGCACAAACGGACAGAACTGAAAGAGGCTCCCCAACATGTTGTCATGGGTTTGCCCGACAACTTTGGCTTCCTTCTTTGGGACTGTTAACTAAATGCGCAGTTTCATTGTTGCGAGAGATGCTGTCTCTCAAGTTTTGACGATTGGCAAGTGGCAGGCATTTGGGTATGTCTCCAAGCCGGGAACTCCAGAGAATAGACGGTCTCCTTTTGGTTGCCTTTGGAAAGCCAGTTCAATAGGAGTCTTTTTCGCTGCTCTTCTCTCCACTCTTCCTCCCAGCTCTTCGCTCCGCTCTTCTCTGCGCTTTTCTGCCCACTCTTCTTCCCCCCGCCCTTTGTTCCGCTCCGCACCCGTTCCTTCCTGTCGCCAGCTTTTCATTGTGACTCACGATACTTCACACGATCACCTCTGCAGGTTCGGCAGCCTTCCGTTGACAACAGCTCCACGTTCAATCGAAGCGTGCGTGTTCCGGTTCGCTTCACACTCCGGACTGGAAGTTCGGCTCGACATGGCGGGTTTGTAGCAAAGGGACAAGGACGCTCGACTTTACACTCCCTGCTCATCTTCCATCTCGGACTTTTCCTATTAAACTGTCCAACTGAAAAATATCCTCAGCTTTTTTTTTTCCTTCGGATCCGAGATCTGTAGCTTCGCGACGAGAAACTCTCAACTTGTGTCCTCAACTTCATTTCAGTTACTGCATATTCAATTTAACAGTAAGGCCAAAAGCGGTTGCGCCAGGAAAACCGAGGCAGCGGAAATCCAGCCGAAGTCCCCAAATGGCCGCCTTTCTTCGGATCCTGAAAGGCCTAAGGGTTGTGATTCCCATTTGAGCCTGGGTGCCAAGGTACAGGATTGTCTACCATGGGTTTTGGGTAGACCCCTTTGAGCCAACAGTTTTTCATGTTCTTGTCTCCCGCAAGCTTCAACAGGCCCCAAGCTCCCCACAAAGGCAGGACCGACTCTATAGGTACTTGTTTTTTTTGGGTACGATCGTGTTTGTTAAAGGGACACCAAAGGACAACCACCCATAAGGGGTCCTTTTTTGGAGGCCAATCTATTTTGGGCCCCAAGCCGCCCATACGATTGGCGAAAACGGCCAGCCTGGCCTTTCGCACTGCCCAGATTGCTGCGGCGGGGCGACGGGCGCAATGGGCCAAAGCGCTGATCTTGCTGGAGGACCTCGAGGACAGGAGGTTCTTGTAGGACTCTACTGAAGGATCCCTTGCACAACTGGACCACCCTCCCAAATGAATCAACAGGGGGATTATTCATTCTTCGAAGTTTGGATACATTCTTGATTTTATTTGTTTCTTCTCGCGTTCCTTAGTTTAGTTTTTCCAGGTTTGGATCCCGATTTGCTCTGGATACATACTTTAGTTGTGTCTAACACCTGATCTGACCTTTCGGTTTTCTGAGGTGGGGTTTTCGTGTGAGTCAAGATTCCAAAGACAGGCACCCTTTATGTGCTTATCTCCGGGTCCCATAAATCATAAGAGGCGTGTGAAGTCTGCTAAGGCCCGAACGTATCAGGATTCGTCAATTCAGGTTAGTGTAGATGTCGGTTACCCCCCCAAGGACATAATCATAACAATCATCATCATAAAACCACTGATTCATACCCGCTTTGTGCCCCAGTGCCTGACTTTCGAGCAATCGATTGACAGATACCCATGGGTTTCAGGTGAATGACCGAGACCTTGTGGCAAAACCCCAAACCCCAAACCCCGATTTAAATACAAGTATAATGGAACTGTCAAAGTTTGGTTTTAGGGTTGCAACACGCCGAGCGAATTTCTTGCAGGGCCGCGCGGACCGGATCTGCTTCAATGCCGCCATCACGGCCTGCGGCGCGGCGGCCAGGTGGCCAGAGGCGCTGGAGCTGCTGCGAAGGTCTGAGACCTGCGAGGCCCCGGTGCTTTGGTCGGCCCGGAGGCATTGAGGAAATAAGGGAAATAGAAAGAAGTGACCATTAGAGGTGAGGGAGTGGGGGGGGGAAACAAAGGAACAGCAAGGAGAAACAGGAGTAGAAAGGAAATCAAGAAAAATAAACGAAGCACTTCACCAGATTATTGGAAACTAGTCACTTAGTCTGAGTGTCAATGGTAGTCTGTTTGGAGAGGACATGGAGAGGGGGACGCGCGCAATTGTTGTGTTCTGTCGGGGGGACAAGTCATTTTGTCCGGGCCGGTACAAAGCAAGTAAGGTGAAGACATGGGCAACACATGGGGAACACGTGGGGAACAAGGGGAAAACCTGGAAACACATAAACCGTGGTAAATGACAGGATACAACTTGTATCATACAGGCGGTTGCAATTCCCACAACTCCGCCTCAAAGGCGGCTCCTACACATCAAAAACGAGCAGTGAAACCCCTCTTGGTCAAGTTGAAGGGGGTTCTACTCGCTGGTTGCTAGGGGTCCTAGTGAGGAGACCAAAATGTTTCAACAGGCTGCCACATCTCCACCCTTGTGCAAGGGCAACTGCAACTTTGGGCTGAACGCGGCCATCAATGCCTGCGGACGCGCATCTCTTTGGGTAGCAGCTTTGCACACGCTGAAGCGATATTTGGGGAAGAACAGCCGGCTGCGAGCAGACGTGGTGACATTCAATACGACTCTCACGGCTTTCTGCCATGCAGTGAAATGGCAGTGCTCGCTGGGCTTGCTGCAGACGCTTCGTCCGAACCAGACCAACCAGACCACACAGACCATCCTTCTCAGTACCTTTGTGCGGGCCTCGAAGTGGCGACTGGCAATTGCCTTCTCCTCAACCCGGGAGTCGCATTTGCCGCACATCAATGCTACCCTTGAGGCCTGACACCCTGCAAATAATATAAATAGGGCACAAGTTGGAAACCAGGTCATTCACCGCAACTTGCCATGGATGCCAGTTTTGTTGTTGAAAACGGCTCCACGCGCAAAATGTTGGAGAAGCTATGCCCTTGAGGCATACCGATGTGCTTCCTTGTGGGAGGCAGCTTTGTCCCTCTGGCAGCGCGTGGTGAGGAGTGGCCAAGCTGACACCATCACGTACAGCACCACGGTGAGCGCATGCGCCGACGCGTGGCAGTGGCGGAAGGCGAGGGTTAAGTTTTGCCAAAGCGAGCTGCGCTCGATACCGGCGGTGACCGTTTTAGTAGAGGAGGCTCATTTGAGTAGAACCAGAAGCCAACGGGGTTTGGGAAAATATCGCCATTACTGATGTAAGCTTGATTTACATATTTTTGTGGAGGCCAGCGGAAGCCTTATGATCGCCTTATATAGTAGAACCAGCAGTCAATGGGTTTTGGGCATGCAACGGAGTTTTCCTGGTCGCATCCCATTCGCTTTGGCACAGGGAAGATACCGTGGCATTTTGCTTCTCATCTGTGAATCGGCCGGTTTAAAGCCACACACTTTGGGCGACAAGAGCGACTTTGTTTCAGCCACGTCAACTGTTGCAAGCTCCTCCTGTGAATTTCACCCTGTGGATTCACAACTCGCCAAAACAACCCCTCTTATCAGAACGCTTTACTCTAAGCAAACCCCAACACCGTTACCAGCACCTCCGACAATCCCAACACCCAAACAAAACAGAAAGCAGAGAGACACAGCCACCAAAGACTCGAAACTTCTCGTAGGCCCTTCCCCATTTCCATCAGGCACTCCACGTCTTCGCGTCGGCGTCGGTTTCTGACCCAGCGCTGGCTGGGGCGGCGGTCAAGGCCTGCGAAAAGGCCTCCCACTGGAAAGGCGCGCTGGCGGTGCTGGAGGCCGCAAAACGACTCGAACAAATAACACATGCGAAACACATACGAAACAAACAGAACATCAGGTTGCTCCGGTCCCCTCAATATGAGAAAGTTTGTTTCCTCAAACCGTACATAGCCCTCCTTCCCCCCCATAGCCTTTTCCCGGGTAAAGCCGGCCCAGGCGCTGCAGCTGGAGCGCCTTGAGCCCAACTCCGCCAACTTCGGGGCCGCCATCGGCGCCTGCGAGGCGGCGGCCCGCTGGCGATGCGCGCTGTCGCTCCTGGCGCAGTCGGCGAATGCGACGGTCGGGCGCTCTGGCCGCACTTAAAGACTTAAGGCTTACGAGAGCAACGCTCAATGACTCATTCAACGATTCAACGGTCGGTAAAGCGAATGACAATGTTTCCTTTACGGTGGTAGCTGACATCTAGGGAACAGAACAAGCATGGGTGACTCGCCCAACGTTGTCAACGTTTGCATGTTGTCCAAAGATTTGAATCTGGGCGAGCAGGTTGCCTTCCAGCATTCCACTTGCTGCGACAGCCAGCGCCATGGTCTATGCGACCAAATGGGAGGCCAGCATCGGGTTGAGATTGCAATGACCTTGCGACCATTGCCCATTCAAAGGGATTCCAACAGAAGGTTGTCAAAACAGTTTGATAGGTTTAGTCCCATGCTTGAGCTTGTCAAAACACAAATCAAGTGCAACAATACTAGTACCCTCCATTCAACAGTTTGGGTTGTTCAAAACCAAATCCTCAATCCGTATGCCAGATAGTCGCGGTTTCCATTGTCCCCATGAGAAAGTGCTCCTCGGATCGTTGCAGGACGCTCTTTGCATCTTGCACGGCCATGCTTTCGACTCAGCTGTGGAGAGCGTGGCCCTGCGCGCCTGTGCCAAAGGCCTCGCCTGGCGATTGGCGCTGGACATGGGCAAAGGGCGGCCCAGCTCCACAAAACTGTTCTCGTGTCGCTTTTCGGGCGTGTTTCAAAATTGGGAAAGGTGGAAGTTCCTGTTTTTGAATTCCCTTTGCATAGGCTCTAAAAGGGCACCTTCAACAACAAAATCCTTTTTGGCTCTAACTCTCTTCAATTTGTGTGCTTGATGTTTTTGGCCGTTCCCAGCCCAGTTTGACTTCAGAAAGGGCTGTTCCGCGAACCTTCCAACCAGAGAGGTTCTCAGAGCTCTTCGAAGTATTCCCTCTAAGACGGTTCCTTGTGAATCTTTCCCCGGGCCCTCAGGGGTTCTTTATTCACAGTCATTTATAAGGATGACTTTGCTTGGCTGGAACACATTGACTGTGGCACGCCGGTTTTTGACACACGTCCTTGGGTTTCCTCCCCCAAAGGGAACTAACATCAAACCATATGGGCTCGTTTAAAACAAGCACACGACACTTCACACGACCCTCCGGGTTTGTGGCATGAGCCTTAAGGGCGGGAGATCTCTCCAAGGCTTCTGGGAGCGGAGGTCCACAACCCTTGGCTTCTCGCGGATGCGGATGCGTCCGAGCCAGCGCGGATGCGGCACCAAAGGCTTGGAGGTGGTGTCATTTTCTTTTGGTGTTTTCTAAGTTGCATTCGAGCTTGTCTCAAAGCTGTATTCACCATCATGCTTCAAGGGGATGACACAGGCACAGGCACAAACTCCTTGTAGAAAAAAGGGGCCAAATGCTTACCAAATTCCTGACTCCAATTCTGCGGTGTGCGTTTTTGGCGGCTGGACCATCCCTCGGGATCCGGTGTTGTTTCACTCGGGCGGGGTTGGTTGGTTGGTTGGTTGGTTGGTTGGTTGGTTGGTTGGTTGGTTGGTTGGTTGGTTGGTTGGTTGGTTGGTTGGTTGGTTGGTTGGTTGGTTGGTTGGTTGGTTGGTTGGTCGGCTGGCCGCATCCCCGGCGCCACCAGCCTCAATTGGCCCGGGAGTTGTTTATTGGCTCTGATTGGACAACAGTTGGGAGTTGCTGGGGGCTGGTTTAAGTTCAGGGGGGTTGAGGCTGTAGGAGGGTAGCAGGTTTGTGTTTGCACCCCCTGTGAAAGGCGGGCCCTTTGGCACCTGCGGCAAATCAGAACTTCCAATCTGCGCCGCTCGGTGTCGGACCGGAGTTGGTGGGACTGGTTTCTTTGCGTGAGTTGGTGGCTCCTGTTTTCGTTTGGTTTAAAGAGAAGCAATCGGGGTTTTGAGTAATGTGGACACAGCATTTTGATGCCCAATCCCTTTACCTTATTCAAAGTCATCCCCTGAGGGGAATAAGAAAACAACTCTAGAGTTTGACTTTGATAATTCATAGAAAGAGTCAACTTGAATAAATCAGCTTAGACTCAGAATTTAGCATGGTTTCTGTCGACTTGCTTTTCACTTGGGGGTTTCGTTTTAGTGCTTGTCATTAGGGAATCAGCAATCCTGTGCTGGAAACGTCAAGGCCTTGGCCTTTTGAGTGCATCGAAACCGAGGGGTTGTTGTACCCAGCAACAGGAGCCACCGTCCAAAATATGAAAGTTGATTCACGCGAAAATTCGGGTGTTCTCCTCCTTGGGCTATCCCCCCGTTGATCTTTCCTATCGAGCCAACCAGACTAGAGTTCCCAAGTCTGTCCTCACTTGGTTGCCTCTGAACGGGAAATCGCGCGAAAGTGACAAGATCATGGGGGCCGGCAGTTCTTGGGGTGCGGCTGGGAATACGAGCTGCAGGCGAGGCAGAAGAAGATGTCGACCGCGAGTGGCTGGCCAGTCTGAAGCTCGCGAAACCAAGAAAGAAGCGCGGAATGTGTGTTTTCTCCCTGCCCAGTCTGGGATCCCTTTGAAATGGTTTTACATTGTTCATGTTCACTACATATAGACCTAATACACAATTGTGGTTGGGGCAAAAGCTGCGTCAGCAGTGAACTCGGACGATTTTGTCCGCCCTGTTGTGGGGTGAAACTCCACACATTTGTTTTTTTTTTGATTGAAAGTGCGTTTCTTTCTTGGCGGGGTGATGCTAAGGGAGTTAATATGAGTTGGTGACAAGTAAGCTGTTTCAACCGCTTGCCCCCGAACATGAAGTGCAGTCAATGTCAACTTTGGGGAGCAGCGTAGTATTCGGGATGATCCTACAGAGTAATCCGAAGTCAGCACGTCGATTTTGCGGTTTGAACCTCTCCCCCGAGTGCGAGTCGGGTGAAGGGCACGCATGCCAGGATGTTTGTGCACCGCAGTCCGCGGCTCGAGGCAGCAGTTGTCTCGCTTTGATTTTATTTCCATTTTGTTTTGCCTTCGTTTGTGCGGCCTCCCGGACTACTCTCCCTTGTGACTCCCAAAAATGGGATGCAATCACGGCAAGTCACAGGCGAGACGGGGAGGGGGGGCGGTTGAGGAGAAGCTGCTTTCGAAACCTTCCGGGGGCTGGGCACTCAAAAGAGGATTCAATTGGAAACCACACATTTCACAGTGTGCTCATGCGAAGACCTCCATATTCAGCGTCATCCAGGGGATGCAGGATGACGTAGTTAGTTGGGAAGGAAACAATGATATTAATGCTGGCTCCGTGCCTCCCGATTTACACCACCTGCTGCTGCCTGATTCGTTTCAGACTGCCTTGTCAGGCAATACATGTGTGGGATCGATTTGCCGACGCATTTCAACGTTGCCTTTGGGTTTTGTGCATAAACAGAAGATCTAAGTCATCCTTTTCCATTGCTGATGCAAGCCAAAGCCGGAAAATCGGCTCGTGACTGCTACTGCACTGGAAATGCACCACAGTCACAAATCTCTTGTTGCCCCCAACTGGAAGCTCCTGTGAATGTCTCAAGCAGTACGCAGAAACACCCACAAATGGAGTTTTCTGTTTGTTGCACTTTAACCAACCTAGAAAACTGGTACCACGCGTGAAAGGTGCACATGCGGGTTGTCATTCTCAGCGCTCTTCTCCTGCTCCAAAGGGACCAATTTTGATGACGCGAACGTAGAAACCTGACCTGTACTTAGATATGTAAGCAAGTATCCGCAGGTACGTCAATGCAAAGAGTCCTGCAATTTTGATGCTCTCCAGGGGAGGTTTGTGGCTTGGAATGCCAGGCGACCACCGAAGTAGAGGCTGCTTGGCCCCAATATGTTTCAGGCTGCTGGGAACATCCTCGTATTGCGGCCCTGACATGATTGTCTTTACCAGGGACGCTCCGAATCTGAACACGATGACCAAGCCAAAAGGGTAGACAATTGTGTGCGTTTGCTTTTGTTGTTTTTCGGGGGCCAACAGTCTATCTGCCAGGGTCTTTGGAGCAATCCAGTTGAAAGGAATCCTTATGTTGGCTCTGACTCTTGTCCCCCGCAATTCAAAAGATCCATGAACATCCTTGGAAATCCCACGCAAGCGGATCTACAGATGCGTTTTCGGCTGTTCCCATTTTGAAAGCCAGTGTAAGCATCCCATCAGTCGTCTTGTGAAGGTTGGCTTTGTACTTTGCACTTTAGATGAAGTGGTTCGACCCAGACACACACACGCGCCGATACATCTAGAAAGACAGCTTTCTGTGGACGAACTGAGGTTATCCCAGATGGGCCAAAAGTGAAGAAAGGCTTCTGGACCAAGAAGAAAGCGGACGAACTTCAGGCGGACGACAGTGATGTCTACCCAAGGGTGCTCCATCAAATCTGCACACCCACATCAGTTGACACATCACCTTCAAGAATGGTGCATCACAATTTGCCTCAGACCTCTTCCTCGGCAAAGCAAGCATGGTGCTAGTTTTGAGGCATTCGTCCGAGTGTTTTGTTTGACCTGATGTCAGGAAGCTGTTGATGCTGTCTTCAACAGGGTGCCGTCCTCAGCGAGATTTGCCAGGGTTGCTCCTAACCTAAAAAAGGCTGACCAAATCAGAAGGCTAGACCATGTGTTGCGTCTCCCTTGGTTTTTCTTTTCCAGGGGCCAACTTTGTACCTCTGCGACGATCTGGACTTTTGGGGCAGCCATGTTTGGCTGTTTCCAGGGCACTCACAGACGAGCCGCTTTTTCAGGCTGGAGAGTCGCTGCTGGGCATGACTTTCTCCTTCACGATTGCCGACTCCTGCCTGCACTTAGAATCATAGTCAAAACCTGACTGGAAGTGGTCTACCCCGTACCCATGCAAAGAATCAACAGGCCGGTCTTGGCTGCATCTATTTGTTGCAAGTGAAAATCTCGATTCCATCCACTTTAAGTACCTGAAGTGGTTTTGAGGAAGTGGCTCACTTTTCTTTCTGCTGGGTTGCTAATGCGGATGGAACAGCATTTCCATTACTGAGATAAACCACCGACCAACTGGACGAGGATTTTGCACAGTATTTGAAGGGGCATGCCAGGAACACCGTATGCGAATGCGCCCAAGGATCCCCGAATCGGCGGCTGTCCGCTGATCGGTTGCTCGTCCGGCTTCGGGACACTGTGTGGCTACACCATGGAGGAAATTGTCGGAAGGCTGGATCCCATGCGTACCCGATGGGGGTCCAGCTATCAAAACAAAGCCGGGCGACTGCCTTTGGTACAAACCTGAAGCACCACGGGGACCCAAAGCTTCACGTTCCACCCTGCCTCGCCAGGAACTGCCGGTTTTTGGTAGATCCGGTGCCAAGAGATCAGATCGATTGGAAGATGCGAAGACACGCCAAGGACCGAAAAGCCGCCAGCTAGTGCGTGTGTTTGTGTGTGGTCAGATGCTCCATCAGGTTTGCCACGGCGAGGCGGATGAACGTTCACTGCCATCTTGGTAGACGCACACAGTTTTGCATTGATCCGCCGTCCACCTGCATTTCTGACAGTTGAAGCCCCGATGAAAAGGAGCTCAAAAGGATGCCCCCGAGACAGGTGATGTTTCTTGCAAGAGCTGAGAATCTCAAGTGCTGCTATCATGTTCCCCTGGGGTCGCCAAGGGGGAGGTTCTGCCGTCCCTGACACTGCGATAGGGTGCAGGACATTTCAGAGGTGGCCGCATTTTTGTTGCCCTTGACCAAAACAATGATACTTTAGGGTTGAAAGGGTTGAACCTTCACCAAGGACAAGGATGGCTGTGACCTGCCAGCTCCTCCCCTGCTTGATCCTGACAATTGCCCAGCTTCTTTGGACCCTGTTCTTCCTGTTCTTCCTGACCCAAACCTGTGCTTGGGCGAGGAAATCACACCAATCGAGCCACTTGGGAACCCTTCCAACCAGGTTTTCCAGTTGCTTGTTTTGCAATGATCACAGCTGGTACTGTACATCTCCAGGTTTTGTGTTATGACCCACGTGATGTGAGTTCTTCCCGCACAATGTTGCTGACTCCTGTCGTGCGAAAGCACTAGGGGGGGGAGCGGGAAGCCGAATGTCGCAGGACTTCTGCGAAGCAATCAGGGTGGGGACCCAGTACAGGCCCGGCCCTTGAACTGGAGAAGCAAACAGCGCTGGATGAAATTCGGTTTTCTTGGTCAAGCTTGTTGAATCTTGTTGACCTGTTAGGAGGCAACACACATGACACAAGGGGCATCACTTTTGCAAGAGCGTCCAATGCGTGAAGTATATACTGCAGTTCCCACCGCATGTTGTATAGATTCAAAGCGGTATGTCTTGCAAATAGGGGGGCCCTTTTCCAGAATGTTTGCTTTTCCCTTTGGTGTCCATGTCATGCATACCTAAAACCATGCGCAGTCCCTTTTCTTCGAAGGGTGGGCTGATGAAGAGCTTTGTGTTGACCGGGGGGGGGGGGATTTCTTGGAAGTGGCCAGACAGGCTTGATCATCTCAGATGTGAGGGAACAAGGTGGATGTATAGGAAGGTGCCAAAGTGAGGGCACCATTTCCACGATTCCGACAGCTACGTTTAGCTATATATATAGCAGCTATATATGTTAATCGAGCAGTGTGGACTAGAGTGATGTTAGTGTAAACCTTTACACGCTTTTTGTCTTCCTAGAAACTAATTTTCAGACCCCTTTTCAAGTGCTCCAAGGGATTCTTCATGGAACCAAACAGGGCGCAACCTGCTGTTCAGTTGCCTGAGGATCCCTGACCAAGAACGAGAAGACTGGATGCCCCGCGGGCGACCCGGAGACGAGCTCTTCTGTTTCCAGCGGAATGCCCGCAAGGCGCCAGACGTCTTCTTTCCCCCCCTTTTTGCCAGTGAAGCCAAGCAGGCTTGAGACACTCTGACCTTTCAATTGCAAAGTCTCCCAACTCTGGGATCATGTACAAAGACCTCCGGCGAATTCTGGTTCGGGGTGCGTCTATTCAAAGAAATGTGGGAGACCCATGCACTGGCGTTTTCCCAGAGTTCAAGGAGGCCAGGCTCACTTTGACAGCGAATCGTCTGCCAGGACGGCTCACTTTTCAACAACATGTTCTACATGAAGGTGGGGTCCGTGGGGAGCGGGTGACTGAGAGAGGAGTGCCTCTTTTGCTTGTCCTTTGGGGTCACAGATCTGAACGTGAGCCTTCGAAGATGCTGTTTGTGAAGCATTTCTGTCGAACCACATCTACCTCTCAGCACAAGAGCAACGGACATCAGAATTGGTTTGGGGACGAGAAAGGGAGGGGGCACCCCTCAAAATTCCCCAAGCACCTTGAGGTCGACCCAACTCTCCCATGTCCTTTTGGGAAGACAACTCATTTGGTCCAGGGCTTTGCCAGCCCTCGCAGGCCATTGAGCTGAGTGCAGAGCTTGGGGAGGAGATTCCGTACATTGCCGCCCGGATGAGACTTGGGAACCGGGGTGCTGGGGGTGGGACTCAACTCGCAGGGCATCACACCCGTTCATGCCAAGTTGAAAGTGATCCAACTGAGTTTCTATGCGGGCGTGCGGGGGGTTCAAACAATCGGAGCCCGTTCAGCCGCTACTTCTTGCTGGCGAGTGGTTCAACACTGTTGCCATCCCACCAAAAAGGAAGCACACCCGCAGACCCCTTGGGGAAGACGATGTTCCTTTTGAAAAGGGAGCCTGCGCACACTGTGCACTTGCATGTTTGTTGCTGTTAGGGTTCAGCTTACAGGTAAGGTTGAGAAGGTGAAATATTTAAAGTCCAGCCAAACAATAGAAGGCTAAAGGCACCAATGTTTCACTTACAGCCCTTCCTCTTGACCCGCAAGTACGCACCCATTGAAACAGCGGCCACGGCCGCCCATGAGATGTTGATTGGTGTCCTCTAACGGGCAACCAAAGGGGAACGGTGAACTCTTAGGATCCATTCTACAACCTGAGGAAATTTATTGCTTTGGTTTATTTTCCGAAGGGCCCGCTGCTTAGAATCACTCCTTTCTGTGCGGCCATGTCACGCGTGTGGCTGCAAGCAAGGGTACCTCTCTTCCCCTCAGCTGGTTTAACCATCACCTTTTGGTCCAATTTTGAAAAACAAACGCGAAGCCCCTTTACGTCCTTCGTCTCCAGGTGGGCCTACAGACGGAGCTGCCTGCCGGCAAGGCCAATTCAATTCGATTTGCTGCCGACTGGAGGGACGGGTCCCGAGTAAGAGTTGTTCCAAGTGGCTCACTTGCTGAGTTGGACCCACTTTTGGCCAAACAGAAGTTTGGCGTCTTTGTTGGTGACAACAGGGCCAGTTTGATTTATGGTTTGCCTTTGGGTTGGGCGATGTTCCTTGAGAAGAACTCCGGTTGGTCGCCTCAATTGGGCATTCATGGGGAACGGAAAAGCGAAGGATATGTTTGGTGACCTGAATGCCCGCCAGGCGGATCTGGCTCAGCTGGCCAAGAACACGAAGATTCTGGACTACAACATGAACCAGGCCCACGCTCCCCGAAATCCGCTTGGGACCTGATGTCTTTGTATCATTGGTCATATTGGTTGTTTGTTTTTCCTCTCCGTAGCGTCGGTTTAAAGAGGAATCGCCGTTGTCGAGTTTTGCTTGGGAGTCGCCCGAAATAGTTGGAGGATACGGGGTGATTCCCTGCCTGGTTTGGGGCATGTTCCTTTGGATCCCGGATTTTTGTGTTGCTCCATTTGGAGAGACAATTTTCTTGTGAGTTGGAGTCAGTGCCAGGTGAGAAGCAGCTCTGCGGCAAAGACTGAATTGGGGATCGGCTCAGCAGTCTCCGCTTTGTCCGAGGTTGTTGAAGAGCAACACACCTCTTTGGTAGTGGAAATCATGGAGGGCGTTGGCCAAAATGAGTTTGGGTAACCCCCAAACGACCCGCATGAACGACAAGGTCCGGGCTGTTCAGTGTGGCAATCCACAAGATGCGTCCAATTTTCCCATGTTCTGGCGGAAAATCGGATTTCAAGGACTGTTGTCATGTACCCTTTGAGGGAGTATTCTTCATAGCCAAAGCAAAGATAGGGCTGTGCAGCAAATCAGGATAAGCCCACACAGGTTCGCCCTTAGGCTGACATGACCTCAATCCTTGAGGATTGGAATGTCAAGGTCAAAGGCACAGGACAATCCTTGGATCGTCTACCCAACAGAAGCCACTGATTGTAGGTTCGTAACAAACCCAAATGAGGGGTTTTGAAAGGACTGAAGGGACACGACCGATTCATTTATTTGTTTATCAATCTATCCATCTATGTAAGCAGACACTATCTGTCCATCTATCTACCTATCTGTTTGCCTGTCTGTCTAGCTATCTATGTATCTATTTGTCTATCTATCTATTTATTTATCTATCTATCTATCTATCTATTTTTCTTTCTATCTATCCATCTATCTATCTATCTATCTATCTATCTATCTATCTATCTATCTATCTATCTATCTCTCTCCCTCTCTCTCTCTCTCTCTCGCTCCATCCATCCATCCATCCATCCGTCCGTCTGTGCGTCCGTCCGTCCGTCCGTCCCCGTCCGTCCCCGTCCGTCCCCGTCCGTCCCCGTCCGTCCCCGTCCGTCCCCGTCCGTCCGTCTAGCTGTCTGTGTGTCCGTCCGTCCGTCTGTCTGTCTGTCCATCTATCTATCTAGCTCTCCATCCATCCATCTACCTATCTATCTATCCCATCCCATCCCATCCCATCCTATCCTATTCTATCCTATCTTATCTATCTATCTATCTATCTATCTTTCTTTATTTCTATCTTATCTATCCATCTATCTATCTATCCTATCCTATCCTATCCTATCCTATCCTATCCTATCCTATCTATCCTGTCTATCCTATCTATCCTATCTATCCTATCTATCCTATCTATCCTATCTATCCTATCTATCCTATCTATGCTATCTATGCTATCTATCCTATCTATCCTATCTATCCTATCTATCCTATCTATCCTATCTATCCTATCTATCCTATCTATCCTATCTATCCCATCTATCCTATCTATCCCATCTATCCCATCTATCCTATCTATCCTATGTATCCTATCTATCCCATCTATCCTATCTATCCTATCTATCCTATCTATCCTATCTATCCTATCCTATCTATCTGTCAGTCTGTCAGTCTGTCTGTCTGTCTGTCTGTCTGTCTATCTATGTATCTTTCTAGCCTCCATCCATCCATTCAGTTGCTTATTTGTATGTTAGTGTATTTGTTGATTGTGTGTCTATTTCGGTGTTTACTTTAGTAGTTAGGTGCTTATTTGTGTATGCATTTAGTTATGTATTTGTTCATTTACTCATTTGTTGTTACTTTCTACATGCTTTTTTGCCCGGGGGGCTTCGTATCCAAACCAAGGTACCCTGGCCCAGTTGTTCTTCGTGTCCTGTGCGATGACACGCGACGATGCCAGCATCTCAGCACTTGCCTCTCCCGGCAATGCTTTCGTCGATCACCAAAGATGCGGTCAACAGGTGCGCGCTTGCTTCCCAAATAACGTCTAAAAGTTGAACCACCCAAGCCATGGGCGATATTAGTTAATTTATTTTTTCTTTTTGCAATAGGGGCTTCCTGGAATGCTGGGTCCTGGCTGGCTGAGGTCCAGTCAAATCCGCCCTAGGCTTTATGATTGTCCCAACCCAAGCCTGAAACAGGCATGCCGAAAACATCCTATAAATCCCCCAGCAAGCCCAAGCCCCAAAGACGCCAATCACCAGGCTCCCTGCCCTGTTTCTGGAGTTTGAGCTCGAGGGACCGCGTGAAAATCAGGTAGTATCATGTACCAATGAGAGATTGAGCCCTAATGACTTGCAATGAAACCAATTTGGTCTATAACTAGCCCCGAAAGGCGGATGGTTCCTCCACGCCAAACCGGGGTACACGGCAAGAATCGCCCTTCACAAAAAACTGAGGCCGGAGTTGAGCTAAACGATGGCTACGACGACGGATTCCTGACATGAGCTGGTGTCCTCGAACAGAAGTGCTCGCTGAGGTGGCCGGAAGTGTCAGCCGTTAGCCAGCGTCTTTTCTGGCCCCTTGAGCGGCATCATTTTGGATACTTCATTCTAGTCTGCTACATGGCATTGGCATGTTGACAGCTGGATTTGTTCCAGCTGTGCCTACCATTGTCATTCAAGTTGATGTGCAGAACCACATTGACCAGCGCAAAGCGCAATTTTCCGGGTGAGGAACAACACACGTTTGCATTTCCGAATTGGACTGGCTTTGGCTCATATAAACCGCAGTGGCTGTTGCACACAGACTGCTTCCACATGGCCGTGGAAACTTGCTTTTGGGTTGCCACTTTCTTTTGACGCCAAGCTCCCTTTCAACGTGACAAAGGAGTCGTAGGAGTCGTAGGAGTCATAGTGAGTCACTTTGGTATCAGACACAGCTTATTTACAACAACCATGCGCTGCCAAGTCAACTTAAGAACATTCCCCTCTGACAAACATGCTTGGTTCACAGCGACTTTTTGCAAAAAGACAGTCTTCTAACAAAGGTTTGTTTGTGGATTCGCATGACTCGTGGGAGCAGTGCATGCCATCGAACTTTCACTTAAACTTAGAATCAATCAGTAGTGGGGGAGGGATGCTTACGATCTACCCGGCTTGGCGATGCGCTCTTTCCTTCGCCCAAATTGGTCATTTGGTTTTCAGCAAAGTTGCGGTTTGCCAGAAGCCAGCTGAACCAGCCGTGGGCCGTGAATGGCCAGGCCCCGCACGCTTCCGTGCGGCAGTTTCTTCGGTACGGTTTGAAGAGCTCTGGGCTGCAGCAGAGCGTCTCACCACAAAGCTGCCGCCAAGTTGCCACGTTGCCAAGTTGCCAAGTTGCCAAGTGGGCCGAGGCCCATTGTAAGCGCTTTGTGCTGGCAGTGTATTCCAGCAACCAAGAAGCCAAGAAGTAACAGATTAATTATGGGGTCTGGACACGGCTGCTTGGAAGGTATCAGACATCAATGCTCGTTGAGCCAATGGCCGAACGAGCCATTCGCCAGCATTTTTTACGCTGAGGCGTCTTCAGACGTTCTTCGGCCGAGACAGCGCGAACCTTGCAATATACCAAAAGGGCGATGCAAGATGGCATGCGAGGCTTTGCAAAGAAACATCTCCAGACACTGAACGGGCCATACCGTAATGCTTCTCTTCTAATCTGTCTGGCGGGGGGGGTCTTTGATTGAAATAAATGTGGTGGTTGACTTTATGCGAGTGTCGTATTGGGATGAGGCAACGGCTTCACCTTGTGACACGCTTTTTGTGGCCACCGTGTACTAATTTGTCTTTTCCGTGGAGATGTCCTGTCCAGGCGGACTGACTGGAGCACCGGCCAGAGATGAGAAGGGAATCCCGGTGCTTTGTGGTTTGCGAGTTGGTGGATCTTGCCTCAAACGAGCAAGGATTGTGTGAGCCCAAAGCCAAGTTCTTCAGTAGATTGCTGGGTTCCCACTAAAAATCGTTCTGGCAGGAACAGGGCTCGCTTTTCCTATCTTGGTGGGCGACTGGTATATTTTGGAAAAACGGAGCCGACAAGATACGACCTCAAAATACTGACCACCGACCTGACATGACCTGACTGACCTGACCGGGATGACTGACCTGCCTGTCCTGACCAGACTGACCAATCTGGCTTGGGCCTGCGACTTTTGGCCCAAGCGGAGATCTCGCGGAAATGGGCAGTACAGTGGGCCTTGCAGCGGCGGCTTGAGGCCGCGATCGCGCCGAGGCAAGTGGCCAATGTTGGATCTTGGACAAATGAGCCTTCATTGTAAGTTCCGAGCTCAGTGGCACGCTCAATACTTGGGCATTTACCAAATGCACGGGCTCACTTTGTAGACGAGTGCAGGGAAGCAAACAGGAAGCCAAGTACTTGCGGAGTCCCTTCTTTTCGGCGTCCAGAAACTGGTATGATTGAAGAAAGCCTTGCATTCGGCGCTACAGGTGTTAACCGAGATTTTGGTGTTTCCTATGGGGAACCCTCTTCAATGTGTTTGAATGTGGATTCCTAGCAGCTTTCGAGAGGACTGGGATTTTCTGGCTCATACAACCACCGTACTATCTAATATGGTGCCTCAACTTTGCATGACGCATTGGCGGATGGTGCCAGCTGCTCAGCATGTCAGCTCACCGTTGCCTCTCGGCTCGAAGATTCCCGTGCCTAGTCTCACAGTCTCGCGTTAGCTTCGAGCACCAGACTCGTTGCAGTCAACTAGTCTCGCGCCTTTTATTCTCGGGTACCCGTGTGCCGAGCTCGAAATGACCGCCTCCGTGGCGTTGGTAGCATTGGCATTGGTCCATTCAGCTGTGGCCAACAGCTGTGAAGAGGCGCGGCTGTGACCAAGAGCTTCAAGGAAGCACTTTGGATGCCCCAACCGTGGATTTGACGACTTGTTTCCCTCTTTTAACACTATTGCACACTCTTGCACACTTTTCAGTAGATCCACAGCCCGGGCATGCCAAATCGTCCCTACACTGACACTGATTTGGGTTCGCCCTTATATTGACTGAAATGTATGTCAAAGGACTTTCCACGGTCGGGTGCATTGCGACTATTTGTGACGTGCGTTTGTGGATCCTCAGAAGGGACTTCGTCTATTCATTTTCCTTTGTCCAGGGTTCCATGTGAAGGAGAGAAAGCGCAGCCAGGTGTGGTTCGTGGAGGGCAGCTTCCTGGGGGAGTCCTTCACCTGCGGGGAGCGCATTGTGTACCTCCAGTCTCCTCCAGGAGGCCTTCTCACCGAGCAGGCCAGTCCTCCCGCCTCCCGCGTTTCGGGCCGGGAGAATCCACATCGCGGGTTCAGTGCCTCGACGCTAGCGGGGTCCAGCCTGATGGTCTCCGAAAGGGAAATGGTCCAAAGGCAAACCCTGCCAGTGGATTCTACCATGAAAGTCCTGTTCTGTTCTTGGGGGTGGTCCCCCAAAGTTCCAATTTCTACTAGGGTCGCTGGGCAGTTGGGTTGTACTGTCCGTTTGAATATCAAACTCGGCAGTAACCAATGTTGCCATTTGAACGGTTGTCCAACTTCAATGGTGCAATGACATTCGTGGCTATCTTCAAGGGTGTTCCCGGCTTTCCGCCATATGTTGCCAACTGTAAATAGTGCAACAGGGCCACAGGGTTAAAGGGTGCTCGACATTCAAAAACTGGCGCTTGTTTGCAACAGTTGGTTTGAGGAACTCTGCATGCGATTTTTGCAGGGTACAGGGCTCGGAACATTTGGCAACTTGAAGCATGTTGGGGCCTAGCAAATCACATATTTCCTCTTGGAGGTATGGAAGCCAAACGTGTCTGCAAAGGATTCGGCAAAGGGACTCTTGAATGGTTCTCCTTTTGCTTCTTCCCTTTACTTCCAAAAAGCGGGGTGTGCAAGATCTGCGTGGAGCCATGAGAAAGGTGCCCCGGCCTAACGCTGTTTGGCTGATCCTTTGCCAGGAGGCTCGCGTGCAGACAGCATTGGAGGAGCTGAAGTGCGCGGACTGCTGGCCCTGGCAGAAGTACCGAGCGGATGTCACTGAGAGGCGAGGTCCTTGCGGAAGCCAATCCTTGTGGGAACAAACATGTTGGGTATGTTCAGAGGCAAAGTGTCCTTCAAACCATACTCCCCTGCAAATCATCATGGAACAACAAGGGGCCCTCAAAAAAGGGACCCCCAAGAATCTCTCCTATTTTGCAGACACAATGGGAACCCTGGATCAAGGAGTTCCCTTCATTGGTCACCAATTGCGTTTAACTTGTCATTTCAGGTCCTTATTTTAGGTCTTCATTGTCTTCATGTTCATTTTGGGACATTCGGTGGTGCTTTTCAGCTTTTCTCTGTTTTTTTTCTCCCCTTTTTAATGGGGGTCCTGGGGGTTTCAAAAAGAGACCGCAGGGAATACTTTTTGGGTTTTCTCATTCGGGATCGGAAGGTCTGCAAAGCGCGGGGTGGCCATCGAGAACCACCTGCTCACAGCGGAGGCGCTCTCGGGACTCTCGCAGATTGTGAGCTGGGGCATCACCTGGGACTTCCAGCCCCTTGGCCTCGCCCGACGTTTCCGGGGAAAAAGGTTTTGGAAACGAAATGGACACTTTATCAGTTGAAAACCATGCATCCCTTTGACATAAATTATACCCCTTTGGCTCTGGCCGCAGGTGAGTTTCCCGTAGGCTCGGGTGGAGATTGGCCTATGAGGGATTTTACCGTAACGTCTTCCAAGAAGGACCGCATAGCAGCTAGATGCATTTTGTTGGGATGGTTTCCCGCCCCTTTGCCTAAAGGGATGTGTTTACCGTAAGGTCGTCCTTTACTCTCAAGATGCTTGACACCCTCAAATTCAGTCCCCTAGGGAAAACGGGATATAGGTCCTTGATTCAGTGGCTATATATATATATATATGACTGTATATTCCCTTAAATCTCTGGGGGTAGTTGTTTGGGGGTAGAGGTAACCATCTGACATTTACTCTCTCCCCGAGTTTCCGGACTTGATATTGTTTGGGAAGACCAGTTGAGTGGCAAGCATGTTGTGTTTTTCTCTTGTTCTTTCCTTTTTTTGAGGGGGGAAGGAATGACTCAGGAAGTGAGTCTTCTCGAAAAGGACTTTTTTTTGTCTCGAAGAGCAACAGGTCCCTGAACACCCTGGGCCTTTCTGGGGTTCTGGGCTCGTTTTAGATTCCTTGTGGTTCCTCTTTTTTGCGTTGCGGATTCATGTGTTTGAAGCGGAGGATCAGTCGGGTTTCAGGAGCTGGCCCTTTTTCGGGGTCTCTTGTATTTTACTGTTTGGGGTGATTTGAACAGCTCGTTTTCCCCTGTCTGTGTGATTCCAATGGAAAAAGAAAAACAAGACATGATCGTTGTGATGGTGGGTGACTCTTTCACACAACTTCCAGTCGCTCGATTCCAAGAAGTATCCATTTAAGAAACCTTGCAAGGCTGCAAAATTGCCATGTGTCAGAATTTCAAACACTGCAGGCCTTGGTTGCAAAACAAACTTGGCAGGGCTGCAAAAACTGCAGCTCTGCCAAAGCTCGGTTTGGTCCCAAATACCCCACATGCCCCGAATACAGAGGACAATACAAAGCAGGGGACCACCAATTTCCCCCATGGAGGTTTTGAGCCTGCATCTTGGTCTAACACTTTAACGGTCCCAGTCCTGGCAATAGTTGGACAGATGATATCCTTGCAAAGCGAACAACATACCATATCATGCAATGTAGATATTTCATAACAGATGAGCAGCTTGAGCTGGTTCCTGAGTGCCTGGTGCAAACGGAAGCTGGCGATGAGCGCATTGCTCTACTCACATAGAAGAAGCTGGGCCACCGGACGAGCAGATTTTGAAGACGCGCGCGCTGCGGGCAAAGTCCTCGAGGAGCGCAATGCCAGGCGACCGCATTTCGACACAGCGGGCGCGGCAGCGCACCGCCAGCATGTTGTCCAGGCGCTCTATGGCGGTGTTTGTGAGGTGCAGCGTGCACGGCGTAACTACTGAAGGTCTGGAATCCGACGGTCATGGTGTTGGTTGTGGGAGGGCTGCTGCTCATCGAGCTCCGCATGCTCGTCGGTTTCACCGTAGGCGTGCAAGCAGCGCCGCAATCACAAAGCTGTGTTGCTCATATTTTGGTATTGGAAGAACATGGTTTTCCTTGATAGAAAACAATATTTGGTTCGCTGAAAGCTATAGATACATTCCTCTTGGATGATCCCCCAACATGGCTGGTCTTGGGTGGGTACTTAGCCGCTTGGTTGCGGGCTCGTCAAGTTTGGTCTAAACCTGTTGAACATTCCGAACAATTCTTCACTAAACCAGTTGTGACGAAGCCCCGGGTAACCTTGTGGTTGCCTCTCCCTACAAACCAACCATGAAAGACCTCCCAAAGCCGCTGTCGTGACCTCAATGCTCGATTTTGGGGTCTTTGGCTACTGGCCCTTGGTTCCCATTCAAACCATTCATGTTTTCTGGAAGACTTGGTAATTCGTGATTCTCCTTTTCTCCTTTTTATGTCGTTTCTGCGAAAGGGCATTCCTTTGCATTTGTTTGCGGTTCTTTGCGTCAAGCGCTTTCTGATCGGAGAGACATCGGGCCCCGCTTTCCTCACAAAGATTCTCATACATAACCCTGTGAAGATGCCTTTTGATCCTCCTGCCGGGTGGGCTTTGGTTTCCACATCTGATCCAGTTCGCCTGCATTCCCAAACCCATGCGAGGTTGCAGAACGGGCCAGACGAGACCGTGTGGAAGATGGCGGGTGTGGACTTCCTGCCCTTGATCTGGGGCGCAGGAGGGGGCAAGAGATGCCAACTTGCTTGTTTGGGTGGCACCCTTTCTAGAGTATTCAAGGGAAGACAAAACGACCAATCGATTTTGGGGTTCTGGAAACCCGATTTTGGCCAATTTGGGGAGGCCCAAATACTGCCCACAAATCAACGGAAGACCAAGAAAGGGGGCCCTTCATCGCGGGATCCTTCTGTTGATTTGCGGGGCCAAGTAAGGCCAATGGACGTTCATGGTCATGAAATGTGGGCCCTTGTGGGATGTTATATTTTAGTGGTTCAACCTTTACCAGTTGGGTCAATCTTAGTTGAGATGCCTTAGGGCCTAGGGGGAGAGGGCAGAGCCTTGATCTTTCAGGACCCAGAAAGCAGTCGCCTTTGCCTTTTCCTCCATTGCAAACCAAGAGGCAACTCAAGGTCGATAAAATCGAGACCCCATTTGGCAGGGTCATGGACCAAGGAACCCTCGACAAAACCTCAGCTTCCGTCCGACCCTGGCAGATACCATCCCCTTGGCCCAAGAGGTGGGCTTGCCGGATGGCACCCGAGCCTTGCTTGGCTTCAACGAGCCCAACTTCCCGGACCAGGCCTGTCGCGGGCGGATGTCAAGCTTTTTTTCGGCTGAGCCAAGCCATGTTGGGAGGGAGGCATGGGTCTGACTAGGCACCTTGTGAAGGCGGAAGCCGCCCACTATAAATTTGGCCCCAAAAGGGATCCACAACTCGGACAACGCCCTTACACACTTTGTGTTCTGTTGATTTCCCTTTTTGATCTAAACCACTCCTTAATCTGCAACAAGACGTGGCAAAGGACCAGCCTCTTGGCCTCTAGGTGTGTCGGTTGGACCCTTTTTGGGCTGCGGTTTTGCTGAAACTCAGGCAACACCGCGCGTGTAGGAGCGCAACCAGCGTGAACGCCCTTGCAGCAGATCCACAGCAAGTGTAGGAACACTCCTTAAGGGATATGTTCCCTTCATTCAATAAGGGTAGTTGGGGTTGAAACCCAAAAGCACTGAGCGGTTCAGGGCAGGTGTTTTCCAGACTCAGGAATATGAATTCACCGGGAACCCCTAGGCTTCTTGCATGTTAATGTTCCCTTTTCACCCACCAGGAAACTCAATCAGATGGCCCAAAAGGATGATGTTTGAATCACACCAAAGCCAGAACGTGATAACCACTGTCCGTTGAAGTAGAGACCATCCAGGAAGCATGAGGCACTCGGAATCCTGAGGCAGTGTTTGGTTTTGAGGGTGCCCTTTTCAGGCTGGTGCAAAGGGAAACGGAACACACCCCAAAAGGGGGGGTCCCCTATTTTGACACTCAGAGGATCAACATCTAGATAGCTTCCTGTTGCCATTTGAAGGGTTTCGGTTGAATCGTCTTTGAATGGGTCGGTCATTTGTGCCTGCTTGTGGTCGTACTCAACATCTGCAACTGAGGTTGTATCCCTCTGACCTACCGCTGGGCGGTGGTGGGCTTTTTGGAGATGCAAGTCAGAAAAGCTGGATTGGGTGTGTTCCTTCATCCTATTTTATTTACATGTAGCCATGCTCCAATCAAACGGTGTCTCCAGATTGCCAAATTGCTCTCCAAAAAGCGCATTGGAATCCCGGTTCCTTTCTGCCAGGCGAACCTGCTGCCGACCGAGGCGGCCGCGAGGTGGGCAGAGGTGGAGAAGCTGGCGGAGGAGTCGAGTCGAGTCGATGCCCCACTCCCAGAGTTCCCGACCTTACTTTTGGGGAGACCATTTGAGTGGCAAACAAAACAGTTGGACTTTCTTGGCCAATCCACCCAGGGAAGTGAATCCAAAGAAGCAGGGCGTCCGACCTCGTGAAGGTGCTGGTTTGCCAAGGAAATCTCATGAAGGCTCCCTTCTTGGGGGTTCCTTGTTTGGATCATCCAGTGCTACGTTGATGGAATGATTCCCCTTTTTGGGTTGAATTTCCAGAAAAGGCTCTATCTTGAGACACAATTGGTGAGCTCCCCTGGTTAAGTGGAAGCCACGTGGAAAAGAGAAGATCCCTTCAGGAACGAACAGTCCCTCCCCGCACCTCCCCTCGTCAGGTTCCAAGTGGGAAGGCTATGGTCCCATTTTTCGGAGAGCCCTGGGACCTATCCGAAGCGGTCAAGCCCCAAAAAGGCACCTCGTCATTGTTCCTCTCACTTTGCGGGTAGCAGCCGTCGGTTTGAGCGATCAGCAAAAATATGACCCACATTTCATCCCCTATTTTGGGACAACGCATTTTGGAGATTCAGAGGGTAGCGATGTGGTAGAGAGATCAAAACAAGTACCAACTCCAAACACGGAAGTACTCCCATATAGTCGCAAAATACAGGTTGCCACAAAATGACATTGGAAAGTTGGGGTTGAGCCCCTTCGGTACCAACCAAAATCATGCAACCTGAGGGGGGGGGGTCCTGGTTTGGATGAGTTTCTTCTAAGGGACATGGCAGCGTGGACGGGAGGGTACCAACTCAAAGGAACCACGCCCAAAGCTCTTGTTGGCCACCAAGTGGTTGTACTTGTACTAGCTGGTTCCATCGGGTTTCTGGTATAAGGCTTACATAAACCTCTTCTGACTTTTTATGCTGGTAGGACCCAAAGTCATTGGGTCTGCTTAGCTTTGAGAGCTGCTAAGTTGGCTTTAGGACTACAACATCACCACCATCGTGTCGCCCTCCATGAACTACCATCCGTCCATGGACCCCATCGAATGGCTGGACCAGTTCTTCGCCGCCTGCAACTTGGATGACTGGACTCCTTGATCCAACTAACTGGCCCCGTCGTTCGAGGCCTTTCCGTACCGATGTCTCAAGATTGCGACCTTTTGCCGGATGCTTCAACAGGGAAGCCTGTTCGGGACGGGGGTAAGCAACCTTAGAGACCTGTGAGGAACTGGTCCTCGGGCCTGCTTCAGACCTGTTTGAGACCTCGGGCTTCAGGCGAGGGCTGCAAAGTGGACGCCATCGGCTTGCACGTGTTCACCTGCTACGCCGGGGGCTTGAAGTACCACCTGGACCGGGGTTGGGGCAAGGGGCGCAGAATGTGAGAGCCACTTGTGTCTGTGTGGGTCTTTTGGAGTTGGTACCCGTTTCATTTAGGATTCAAAGGAAACCAGCAGGAATACCACCTTTTGGGCCCAGTGTTCTGCCCCCCTAAAGTGACCACGGATTGGGCTTCTTGCAGTGCTTGAGAGTTGTTTGCGAAGCACTTTAGATCATCGGTGACCTCCATTTGGGATGGTTTGACACGAAAGCCAACACGAGGCCCTTGCCATTCTCCGATGTCTGTGGCGGCCTCCTTGCTCTGTGCTCTTTCAATCCACACAGGGCTGTGGGGTTTGACACGCACCCGCATGAGTTTGTCTCTGTTCCACGTCCCAGCACAACGGCAAGGGGAATCAACCTCTTGTGAATGGGCAAGAGATGAATCTTTAGAGTCCATGTTTTCCAAACCCCCAACAGTTGAAGAGTCTCCTTTTGTGGGGGCCGGGCTCCTTCGCAGTTGTTTACGCTCCAAACCTTAGACAGTCGACCAGGCCACAATGGTAGAACATAGCTCGTGTTTCTTAGCCTTGCAGGACCGGTACCGCGTTTTCAACAAGCCCATGTGGGTGACAGAGATCGCCTGCTCGGACCCGGCCTCGCCGGAGCGGTTGAACGCGGCGGGCCAGATGGCGTACATGAAGGACATGCTTCTCCGTGCGCTAATATATGGGGTGAAACCGCCAATCCTGGGTGAGGGCAGCCTTGGGGCAGGGTCTGGGAGGGTTCTGGGGCTGTTGGGAATGTATATACATACATATATAAAGGATATGACATTATATATATATATATTGATGCACCCATATTCGACTGGGGGGACCAAGCCCTTCTATCCACATCCGTCCAGAGTTCCAGTGCTGAATAGGAGGCGATCCCGCTCCTGGAGGCCGACGAGGACGTGGCCATGTACGCCTGGTTCAGCTACTTCGCGGACGAGTGGGCGCATCCCATCGTGGACGGCCTGAACGGAGATGCAGGCGGAGAATTCAGCAGGTCCCCTGCATCGCTGCATGCGCCAACAGGTCCCCTGCATGCTTGGTGGTCGTAAAAAGTTTTCCCCGCCCTGAGGCATCGTTTTCCCCAACGGTACACTCACCCCGCTGGGAGAGCTCTACAACTCCTTCGCTGCGCAGAAGAACCTGTCGGAGGTGAACATTACCGTGCCCACCTCGACCACGAAAACGAGCACGACCTCGAGCACCACCAATTCCAGCACCACCACAGTCTCCAGCACCACCAGCAAATCCTCCTCCAGGACCACATCCTCCACTGTGTCTGGCACTTCGACCATCAGTGCTACCACAACCGCCACCTTCACAAGCAAAACCCTCACCTCCACCAAGACCATCACCATCACCACCTCCCAGACTTCCACTGTGAGCAGCACCACGAGCGTGTCCTCAACCGCCACATCGACTCTTTCATCCACAACTGCATCATCGGTGACTGCAACAGCCACCTCTGCGACTGCAACAGCCACCTCTGTGACTTACACCGGACCATCAACCATCTCATCAACTGCCACCAGCACCATCTCATCCACTCTCTCGTCAACCATCTCATCGACTGCCTCCTCAACAACAAAATCCACCAGCGCAACCACCGCAACCAACACCGGCACCATGTCCAGCACCACAGCAGTTGCAGAGACAACGCTGGGGCTGACACCTGCTCCTGAGATAGAGACATCCACCACGGAGTCTACCACAGAGTCTACCACAGAGTCTACCACGGAGTCCACTACGGAGTCCACTACGGAGTCTACCACGGAGTCCACCACGGAGTCTTAACTGCTGTTGCCATGTTGTTCTTCTTTAAGCTGGGGCCCAACAACAGTTCGTTGTTCCATAGAGTACCAGGTTGGTTGGGAAGTTGACCTATCCGCTTGGTCCCAGCCCTGTGTATTCCACCGTGCTTTTGTGTTTGGGGATAGTAAGGCAAAGCCCTTTTTTCCCTTTCTGTTGGGTGTCTGGCTTTTCCATTAGAACTTCCTCTATCTGGTTTCCAAGCCTCCAATTTCAGCGTGTGTTTCTCCATGTACATTGTTGGCTCCTCTTACATCTCATCTACGGTCCTCCCCCTCCACCCGGATGAAAATCCCCTTTTGCAAGCCTTGTAGGGGGTCACTTGGATGTTCAACCTACCTAGTAGTTGGTCACACCATGCGGGGTAACAGGGGGTTCCATTGCAACTGTAGGACCTGTTGAGCATTCAAGTACCTTCCTGGGTAGCTGAACATTCCCTTGCCCGGCACCAGCAAGGAAGCGCGCTCCACGACCCCGGAGCCGGTGCGGAATTGGACCACCCGGCTCCTCACAGGCACGGCCACGGGAGCGGCGCCCAGCACCACATTGCCCCAAGGCAGGGGTGCGGCAAGCGGATTTCCCTGCGTCCCACAAGTTCGTTTTTCTAGGGGCAATCGGATTTCAAGCGAAGCAGACGGAAGCCCTCCCTCATGCGTCCTTCAAAATTGCTTCAGAACCACGGCTTCTCAAAGGCGACCTGAATGAGTTGATGTTGAACCAGCGTCGGTTTAGTCGAACACATTCCTTGAGGTGAGTTTTACTTAGAGACGAATTCACACTGCTGGGGGAAAAAGTCGCGACACTATTATTGGCAGTCCACTGTTGGTTTGGGGAGGACGAGACAGGGGGAACCCAAATTGCCAACAAAAACCGCGTCCTTTTTGGGGAAACATTCAGAATGTCGTCCCTTGGTGTGAGCGAAACCATTTATTAACCAGGCTCCCGCCTGCTGCCGCCGACCCTCGGCGCATTAAGGGAAAAGTCACAAGGACCGGTCCTGAAACACGTCCGCAAACCCGGGGACCACTTAGAAGATCCTCTACGACCACAAACAAGGATTAACGGAAAAGTCAGAAATAGGGCAGCTAGTCCGTTAATTACCGCTTGGGCCGGCTTGCGCCCAAGTCACTTCGAGTTGGCGCCTCTCCCGGGGTCGCCCTGAAACTGGCCCTCCCGAAGTTGCCCTGGACCGGTCGCCGGCAGGGACCGGGACTTGGGACCCTATCCAGGCTGGTCCCAGTCTGGCGCGGTTTGACTCGACGTCTTGGACTCTCTTGCAGAATGGATCCAGGGATCCTCTACTACCACAAGGATTAACGGAAAAGTCAGACAGATGACAGCTCCGTCAATAACCGCGCGGGCCGGTTTGTGCCGAAGTCACGTTGAGCTGGTCCTAGAAACAAGGCTGTTGGTCCCTCTCAACTGGTCGCAATCAGTGACGACCTGGGACCCTGTCCAGCGTCCTGGGTGCCAGTCCGGAAAGGTCGCACCACAACAATTTGAAGTACCAGCGGACTCGATCCCGGGACCGGCTTCCCAGAAGTCCTGGGACTGGTCCTGGGACCAGTCCTGGGACCGGTCCCAGGACCAGTCCCAGGACCAAATCTGTATTGGGACCAGTCCCGGGACCGGTCCCAGCTTGTAGTCAGCCAAAACCGGTCCTGGGACCGGTTACAGGAACGGGCCCCCAGGACCGGTCCCGGACCAGTCCCAGGACCGGTCCTGGGACCAGTCCTGGCACTGGTCCTAGGACCAGTCCCAGGACAGGGTTTGGTCCTGGGACTGGTCTCACGACCAGTCCTGGGACCAGTCCTGGGGCCGGTCCTGGGACCAGGTTTGGTCCTGGGACTGGTCCCTGGAACTGGTCCTGGGACCGGTCCCAGGACCAGTCCTGGGACCGGTCTGGGAAGCCGGTCCGGGATCAAGTCCTGGTGTGACCGCTGGTCTTGGGTCCCAATTCAAACTGCTGTGCTGCCACCTCAAACCGCTCCAGACACGTTTCCGGACTGGCACCCAGGACACTGGACAGGGTCCCAGGTCGTCACTCCCTGCGACCAAACCGGCCCGTGCGGTTATTGACGTCCTTGTGGTAGTAGAGCATCCCTGGATCTATTCTGCAAGAGAGTCCAATACGTCAAGTCAAACCGCGCCAGACTGGGACCAGCCTGGACAGGGTCCCAAGTCCCGGTCCCTGCCGGCGACCGGTCCAGGGCAACTTCGGGCCCGGCCAACTCGAAGTGACTTGGGCGCAAGCCGGCCCAAGCGGTAATTAACGGACTAGCTGCCCTATTTCTGACTTTTCCGTTAATCCTTGTTTGTGGTCAACTTCGGGAGGGCCAGTTTCAGGGCGACCCCGGGAGAGGCGACTGCTCCCGGGCCAACTCGAAGTGACTTGGGCGCAAGCCGGCCCAAGCGGTAATTAACGGACTAGCTGCCCTATTTCTGACTTTTCCGTTACTCCTTGTTTGTGGTCGTAGAGGATCTTATAAGTGGTCCCTGGGTTTGCGGACGTGTTTCAGGACCGGTCCTTGTGACTTTTCCCTTAATGCGCCGAGGGTCGGCGGCAGCAGGCGGGAGCCTGGTTAATATCATTGATTCCAATCACTTCCAGTTGCATCCCACGCCGGTCCCCTCTGCAGGAGGCTGGGACGGGAGGCAGAGGGTCGGCGGATTTGTCCTTTCCATAACATAGAACATGACGGATCCTGCGTACGGTGTAGAATTCCTTTTAGAGGCCTGAGCCCAAACTGGTCCCACAACAATGGACAACAAGACTCGGCCGGTTCGGACAGGTGAGCCCACTACCAATCAGCATGTTGTAACCATGCTTTCAACTGGGTAACAGGGGTTGGCTACTTGTGACCATAGCTTTTAGCCTGCATCAAATGGGACCCTGATCTGGGGGGGTGTCCCATTTGAGAGGGAATATAGCAGGCGAGCCCACCACCACGGAGCCGGAGCCGGAAGACAATTCCACCAACGAGACCGAGGACGGGCTGGGCCAACCTGTTTAAGCGTGTTTGAACACCTGCATTAGCGCCGAATCAAGGAAGTGCATGGGCACAAACCAAAAGCAAACTATACCTTTGTTACCCAACCGCATGTTGTTTTCATATTTTGAAGGTGTCCAGGACGTGGTTGTTTCAACCTATGCAACCAACCCAAGGATTTGTCCTGCACGGATGCCATGACAGCCTACTGCACTGCGGATCCGGAGACGGCGCCCTTCTTTCCCTTGCACCACTGCCAGGAGAGACGTCTTGGAAAGCAAACGGTCTCCCTTGGATTCCCTTTAGGCAAACGCGGCACCCCACAAGGGTTACCGGGGCTCCCCGGGCTCCCCATTTGGCAGTGCTATTCCAGAATAATTCTGGGAAGAAAAGATTTGCGGATCTAAAAGAGTGCCACGAGAATCCGGACAACATTACACTGTTACACGGACCTTGAGTTTTCTTCTAGTACATATACCCTTGAGGTGCCAAGTATGTAATTGGTTTTTGTGGCTTCGCATGAACAAAAACAGGTCAGCGAAACACCACTGATAGTCCGTGCTGTTTTTTTGTTGAGATTTGGGTGGGTGTCTCAGATGCAGAGTTTGGGAAAACCTCCAAGTGGTTTGTTTGCTTTGGCTTTTCTTTTGAGATCTTCCAAAAGAGATTGTTCAATCAGAAACACACACTCCGCACCTCTTTACAATTGCCGAATTCAAGTATTGGGAATTACCCTGCAGTTTTAGACGAAGCTCAACAACAAAAACATGAGAAGGAACCTACCTTCTGGTGACGCTTGGTTTGCCAAGTCAAATTCCTGTGACCTAGCCAGAGACTTCATTGATTTGGGGAGGTCTTCTCTTTGCAAGGGATGCTCCAAATCTCAAGCAGATGACCAAAGAAGAAAGGTGGACAATTGGTTCTTCCGGGAGATGCATTTTCACCCTTACGACCGATTGGATCTTCGGAGCAACAGGGTTCAGTTTGAGGACTGGCGGCTGCACGATGCCATGTGCTCGCGGAGCAGCGGCGGCCCAGCCTTCGCAGGCCTCGACACGCCGGAGACCAGCAGCTTCCCTGTGATCTTCATGATCCTGGTCACTCAGTGGGATGCAGAAATGGCTTTTCGGAAATTATTCTTTTGGTTTCCCAATGATCTCTGATGAACAATCCCCGCACATTTTCGGGGGGTGGGGGGGGGGGGATGAGGGCCGGGGTTGGATTTCTTTTTTCCTGGAGTACCCTTTCAATACAAGGAGCTAGCTAATGACTAGCATCATTGCGCAATTGCACTTCATGATTAGAGTCGAACAATTGCTTTCAAAGTATTCTGTTCCCCCTCTATTAACTTACGCATAAATTCTCGCCGAGTTCCTGAATGTTGTTCTTTTTTGGGGACACCATTTTTGTGGCAAGCACACGTTGTTATTTCCCAGTTGCTCGGGAAGTGGAAAACTGGGACACTGCCTTAAGCCCCTTGGTCCCTAGAAAGGATCGCTTGTGAATTCTGGGCTCTCAAAAGCTGGTTTTGCTCTTTTGTTGGGCTTGTGATTTTTTTCCCGTTTTTTTGGGGGGCGAGGCAGGTCCCTCTGTCTCTCTGAGGCCATCATCGCCGCCTTGATGACGGGCGCTGCCATCGCCTCGTTGCTCCACCGCGACCGCTGCGGCTGGTGCCTGGCGCTGCTCTGCTGTCGGCGCAAGAGCCGCGCGGAGCAGGAGACACCAACTCGGCGTAACATATAAAAAATCTCCCTTTGACACAAACCGTTTAAACACCCTCTGGCCTTTTGGCTCTGTTTTGCTTTGTGACAAGCTGGCAGTCTTGGGTTCTCAGGGCTTCAAAGAAGGCTTCAACTGACTCAATCATATGTGTGTAGACCTTGCGCCTGTACTCTCTGTTTGACCCCACTTGTCTGCGGGTATAACTGTACCATGGATCAAATCTCCTTATACAGGCCACGGTTCTGGTTCCCTTAACAGGAATCCTGACCATGGTTGTCAAAACTTGCTGAGGGGTTGATGACCGTTTCCAAGGGGTTGTTTTGCCACCACTGGCCATCTGTCCTGTTCCGTGACCTGCATTTTCAATGGAGGGAACCAAGTCAACCACTTTCTGTGTGCGTGCGTGTCGTGACCTCTAGTCCGCGCCTGGGTTAACATGTGTTGTTAATCCCTAGTTACAAGTAGCTTCAGCTTTGTTTTGCCCGCTTTCTTTAGCAGCCATGTGTGTGTTTTTTCGCTTGCTTGGTGGTTTTCAAAGAGGGCTTCCCCAACATCCCTTTTTGCGGTGGCAGGAGCAGGAGGCGTTGAAGCGCTGCGTGAGCGGCAAGTCCGACTGGCAGGCTCCTAGCCCTCCGCCTGGCTGCCCATTTAAGGGAAACCCGTGTCTCACCAAGACCAACGGTGACGAGCCCAAAATTTGGGTTTCAACCTGGCAACTGAGAGGGTGCTTCCTGCAAAAGTCAAGCATCCTCATCCCCCATGCTTAGCAACCTTTGGTTTCTTTGTGGATGGTTTTTCAGCGGAATTCGCGATGATCAGTCTTCACCGGCAGCTGAGTAGTTGTTCTGCCCCTTTGGCTTCAGGCGGGGTGCCTGTCTGTCATGGCCAATGCCAACAACTCCCACGCCAACGCACGCGTGGCCCCTGCCCCCGGGGTGCTGCTGCCCTTGGAAGCGGTGGCTCGGGACCGCGAGGGCTCGCCCATGATGCAGGTGAGCGATGCACGCCGCAGACGTTGAGTTGCTTCGAATTTGCCTTTAGTCTCAGGGTTTTCCTTTAAGATCTGGTAAAACTCTGGAATTGTGGTTAAACTCTGGGAGTTTGGTCGCGGGTAGTCTCAGCAATTCGTTGCTTCAGGCTTGACCTTGTAAATCCCTGCTGGGGAGAACAAAAGGACCGCTTCTATCCCTTTTGGAGATCCAACTTGATTTCGTCAGTGAAGTCAGGCAAAACATGGCAAAGAACCTGAACCACAGATTTTCCATATCATTCCTGCTCTTTAGCCCTCCTTCAGAAGCTAAAATATGGAAACTGCCAGTGCAAATGAAAGCAAGTCTTCAGAGCCCTGGGAGCTTCCATAGAATCGCCTGGCGGAGCAACACTTTTTCCTATGTAGATGTTTCTTGTATTTTTGCCCTTCTTCCTAGATGTTCCACTGGGTTCAAACATCATTTTTGCCAGGATTGGGAATCTCTGCTTCCTATACTCTATCTTTCCCACACTGAACCCTCCATGAGATCTTCCCTCCAGGCCCTGAGCTGCAAGAGCAACCGGAACCTGGAGATCGCTGTGGGCACCCCGGTGGGCACCACCCCTGCGAGCCGGGCCGCGGCCTTGACCATGCTCACGGAGGCCATTGCCAAGGCCACCAACCCGGAGGCGGGGAAGCGACGTCGCGTGTCGCGACGGGTGAGGAAGGCCTTTCTGTTTTTTTGGGGGGACGAAACGAACGCTTGGGCTAAAGGTGACTGGAAACTGGGAACAGATTGGTTTCTAGCATCAAGCGCGGTCTTGCAAGGCTGCGGATTGTTCATTTACTCTCTACATCCTGGAACAAAAGCAAGTGATAAGTAGGCCTGGTTGTGACTTTCTTACCACCATTTGTAGAACCCAACAAGATAGGTCGGGGGGAAGCCGGCTTTTCGGTGACACCTGGCACATTGCGGGCACTGCAACATAGGCGGTATGCGTGTTTCGAAATGAAACGTTGTCGTTTGGTCCAAGGGACAGATTTGACTTCCCGAGCAGACCGCAGAGTTCCCCCGGCCCATGTTTGTTGGTGGGAGCGTACCAACCCCTTAAGCTCAAGCTACTTTTCCACTGGGAAGCCCGAATCTCCAATCTTGTTTGAGAGCTCATTTGAGCCCAGCGAGCGCCCTTTTTGTGATGGATCTCTTTTTCTGGGGCCTTTTTATTTTCGACATAGGTGTCCCTGGACGAGAAGCAGAGCTTCCTGGACCAGACCGGCCGCTTCTTGCACTCCTCCGCGGCCATGAGCCTTGGGCCTGCGAACCCGTTTGCATGGGGCTCTGATGCTCCTCAACCCCATTTGAATTGGGAATGTACTCAGCCATGCTGCGGATTCCGACTGAGGGAAATTTAGTGTTTGTCTATGAATACGGGCATTTGAACCAGGAGGCTAAAGAGGGCCTGCATAAAGCCTTATAACCATCCTCATGCTTCTGTTTTTGTGCGGGATCCCACTTTCTTGATACCGTAGGTATTCCTTTTTGAAGTCACAAAGTAGTCATATATGCAAAAAGCAACCAGGTAGGTACTTGTTTTACAAGGGTGAACCCCATTTGGCTTGGGATGGTTGTGCAGGAAGCCAAGAGGAAGCCGCTGCAATTATTTAAGGCTCCGCATTCTGATATTTTGGGCAAGACCCGTTTGTAGAGGGATTCTCTCTTTGTGTGAGTTCCATGTTGATTTGCAGACTGGCCCCTCAACCATGATTTTCGCTGTCTTGGGCTTGGGGCGACCCTGGGACAGGTTTCTGGGAAGGTGTTGCTGTGGGGATATGCTTCAGCTTGTTCCCATTGTTTTGGCGAAGCCTGAGGAACCTGCCGATGAACGTGCGCCAGGAGGCTGAGATGTGGCAGTCGCGCCAGGAGGGGAAATGCGAAAAGCGGGCCCAGTTGACTGTTTCTTGCTGGCAATTTGGGAAGGAGGTTCTGCCTGAGCAACAAATTGCAGGGACAAAACCGATGTGACCATTTTGGGAGCGGGGGGTTGTCCAGCCCGGCTCCGCACGAGAAACGGAGTGACGATTTGTACATGCTCTCTTGGGAACAAGTGGAATACGGGCGTGCCATAGATAGAAGTAAATGGGACCCAAATCGAGGCAGCACTGACCGCTTTTACTTCCTGAACCTGCCATAGCTGCGGAGATGCACTTTAGTCAAGCAGTAGGGGTAAAAGCAGCACCCCGACCCAAGAAATCAACGCAAAGAACAAGCTGCCAGGCAGGTTCGCTAAGCGAAGCCAGCACCAGTCAAGGGGGCTGGGCGCGCCTGGGCGCTCATTCGAAGCTCGGGGCCCAATCTCCAGGAGGAGCGGCTCCAAATCGCTCGGTCCATGGAGGCGGTGGCCGACCGCTGCGAGTCTTTAGAGATGGCGGCAGGGGATGTCCCCGAAGAGACGGACTCCCTGAGGTGCTCGGGGCGGAACGCGGGGAGGGGGGGGCATTTGGTAGCTCTTTGTGTTTGTTTTGCGGTGTAGTGGGTTCTTGCTTTCGTTGTTCGTTAGTTCTTCTTGCTTGTTGCCTTTCTCTTTTTGACTTGCCACCCGAGTGCCTTCGCCGAGTGCCTTGGTTCCCGGCCAGGAACCTGCTGGCCCGGGCCAAGGTGGCCAACGAGGACCGCGAAGCCATGCTGGCGGAGGCCGCCAGGAGAGCCGCGGCCTTCCAGGAGGCCTGGCTTCGGGCCGATAGGGCGATGGGGTGCGATGGGGTGCGATTGCGGAGCTCCTTTGAGAAAGGGGCTGAGATCTTTCGCACACGGTCTTGAAGCATCTTGAAGCATCCCACAACCTAATTCTAATTATGCGGGCCCTTGTAGTACTGTTTCGGAGATTGTTGCAAGACCATGGTGATACAACCCTAAGTGGGAGTGTGTCAAATACAAGATAGGCTTCGAATACAAGATGGGCTTCCTGACAGGAGTTAGGTCGTCGCTTTTTTTCTTGGGCTGGGGCCAAAGCAACCAACTCGGCCGACTGGGTTGACGTTTTCCAGGAGTTGGAGGGCCAGCGCCTGAAGTTGAAGAAGCGCAAGAAGGGCGAGCTCGCGGCGGTGCTGCAGAAGGTGGAGCTGGCAGAGCTCCAGGCGACTCTCGATTGCGCGCGTTTCCGGTGGGAGCGGCTTCTTTTTTGGAGGGTCAACAGTTCCCAAGAGCGTATCGCGCCCATTTTTTCAACATCCCTACATACCAATATGCCATGTGCGTGAGTCCATTGTGAAGGTACCCCTTATCAGGTTGTTTTTGAAGAAAACCCACGGAAAGACACCCTCACCTAAGTGGACTCTTCCATGCGAGGGCCATTTTTGGTTTTGAGTTTGAGTAAGGCCGACCAAGAGGCTTGAACCGCCAGCCCCATGAAACGAGCATATCTTTTTCGGAGGATCCTGATGGGTTTTGTGATTTGACAAGCGCACTCAGGCTTTGCTGTCTCATTATATGCGTATTCAGAATGATATATTACATGAATAGATGTATATATATGTATATAATATGTGGTGTATGTATGTACACACCAAATCCAGATGCTCCAATGTGAGTCGCAGGAGAAGGCTGTCCATGAGATGGAGGCCTTGAAGGACATGGGCTGCGAGCCTTTGGGCGACGATTGGAAGGCAGCCTGCTGCGCCCTGGAGGACTGCGGGCTCAGTTCCTGCGTTTACGATTGAAAGGTAAGGGCTTTTGGGGCATTTGGGGCCTGGAATGGTCAGATCGAGAATGGTGAGCTAGAGAATGGGTGAATGATGAAGCCAAAGGCAAGCTAAATACCAGTTTTGGGGATACGTATTCGTTCTTGAAGCACTCAAGTGAGATCCATTCAACCCCCCTGATACCTGTCAGGGTTTGTTGGGCGGCTCTGGCTCTGTATGCTTGGACGGTTGAACGGATCTCAGACGGTGAGCATGGTGTACTAAGGGGCAAACTGGTAAATGGTGAGCAATGGCAAGCCATGGTAACATCATGTCAAACCATGAGTGTGAATAAGCATATTTCACGACTGCGTGTTGGGTCGATTTTGAACCTTTAAACATTTTTGACAACCACAAACTGACAGACAGTTTAACTCTTGGCCAGGGGGGGGAGCTACTACAAAAAGCCGCTTTGAGCCCAGCTTTTTGGAGTTTATTTTCTGTTCTGGGAATCCTTCATTTGGTTGGCTAGCTTTCCGCCGGTTCCTAGCTGTATTTCCCCCATTGGAAGGAGTCCCTTTCACGTCACCAATCATCCTGACCAAACATTTGCAGGACCCCAGTGTCCTTTTGGTTTCTCATCAAACCAGACCCAAAAAAGGGTACCGCATAATTTTGGAGCGTGGTTAAGATAAGGAACCCCTGTTTGGATGGAGTTTAGCGTTCCCTTTTTCGGCTTGGGTCCAGTTTGGAAGCAGATTAGAGATTCATTTGCGGAAAGCGTCACCACTTTTGCGGCGTGCCCTTTTGGAGTGGCCAGGACGCCTGGAAGGTCTTTGAGGAGGACCTGGGTGCCGCCTCGGAGCAGTGCGGGGCCCGGATTTGGGTGGCTTCTGAAAGGACGGCGGTGCGTTGGCAAAAACAAAGGACCGGATGCCCAACATTCTGCAGGGGAATAGCGGCACAGATGGGCAGCTCTCACTTCACTGAAGCGAAGTCGAGTACTCCAGCTACCTATATATGATACAGCAGCTTCCAACCTAAATTGCAGCAAGATCCCTCCTATAGGCGTGTCATGGTGTTGGAAACTTCGGCCCCAGTTCGGCTAGCTCTTGTGTGTGTGTGCGCGTGGCTGTGTGCCTGTGGGTCTGTGGGTCTGTGTGTCTGTGCGTCTGTGTGGCTGTGCGTGCGTGTGTGTGTGTGTGTGTGTGCCTGTGCGTTTGTGCGTCTGTGTGTCTGTGGGTCTGTGGGTCTGTGTGGCTGTGTGCCTGTGTGTCTGCGTGTCTCTGTGTCTGTGTGTCTGCGTGGCTGTGTGCCTGTGGGTCTGTGGGTCTGTGTGGCTGTGTGTGTGTGTGCGCGTGGCTGTGTGCCTGTGGGTCTGTGGGTCTGTGCGTCTGTGTGGCTGTGCGTGTGTGTGTGTGTGTGTGTGTGCCTGTGCGTTTGTGCGTCTGTGTGTCTGTGGGTCTGTGGGTCTGTGTGGCTGTGTGCCTGTGTGTCTGCGTGTCTCTGTGTCTGTGTGTCTGCGTGGCTGTGTGCCTGTGGGTCTGTGGGTCTGTGTGGCTGTGTGTGTGTGCGCGTGGCTGTGTGCCTGTGGGTCTGTGGGTCTGTGCGTCTATGTGGCTGTGCGTGTGTGTGTGTGTGTGCCTGTGTGTTTGTGCGTCTGTGGGTCTGTGGGTCTGTGGGTCTGTGTGGCTGTGTGCCTGTGTGTCTGTGTGTCTCTGTGTCTGTGTGTCTGCGTGGCTGTGTGCCTGTGGGTCTGTGGGTCTGTGTGGCTGTGTGTCTGTGTGGCTGTGTGTCTGTGTGTCTGTGCGTCTGTGCGTCTGTGGGTCTGTGTGGCTGTGCGTGTGTGTGTGTGTGTGTGCCTGTGTGTTTGTGCGTCTGTGGGTCTGTGGGTCTGTGGGTCTGTGTGGCTGTGTGCCTGTGTGTCTGTGTGTCTCTGTGTCTGTGTGTCTGCGTGGCTGTGTGCCTGTGGGTCTGTGGGTCTGTGTGGCTGTGTGTCTGTGTGGCTGTGTGTCTGTGTGTCTGTGCGTCTGTGCGTCTGTGGGTCTGTGGGTCTGTGTGGCTGTGTGTCTCTGTGGCTGTGCGTCTTTGCGTCTGTGTGTCTGTGCGTCTGTGCGTCTGTGCGTCTGTGGGTCTGTGGGTCTGTGTGGCTGTGTGTCTGTGTGGCTGTGTGTCTGTGTGTCTGTGCGTCTGTGCGTCTGTGGGTCTGTGGGTCTGTGTGGCTGTGTGTCTCTGTGGCTGTGCGTCTTTGCGTCTGTGTGTCTGTGCGTCTGTGCGTCTGTGCGTCTGTGTGTCTGTGTGGCTGTGTGTGTCTGTGTGTTTGTGTGTCTGTGTGTCTGTGTGCATGTGTGTTTGTGAGGCTGTGTGGGAGGCCGAATCCCTCCCCAGCTAAGCCTACCGGCCGTGGCCGGCCTGCGACCCGGCCTGGGGTACCGTACGCCCAGTTTCCCATGCTGGTTGGAAACTCCGGAAATACTTTCCCGAGCACGAATGGCCAGCGAACCCCTATGACAAAGTTTACGTGCTTGATGCTTTCCAAGCTGGTGAGAAGGCTTTTGTGCACGCTGCAGAGACGGTTGCCCACCTAATGGTTCCTTTAATATAGTTATATATACACATATACTTGTAGTGGCCGTTCACCTATCCGTGGGAAACCCCCGTACTCCTCACATTCCCCCATTAATCCACCTGTATATGTCTTGGGATGAGGTGCATGATGCTGGTGGATGACGCCGCCACTGCCAAGATCTTCTCGGAGGATGCAGGGGTTTCTCCGCAAAAGCTGAAGCCCCAAATAGAAACTTGGAGGCCCAATTGTGGGGAAATCTTATTGCTCCTTTGGCTGTTCCAACAAGCTAGAACATTTGATTAAGGGTTTCCTTTAAACTCTATTTTTGGTTTCCCTTGAATGTACACGGATTTGTAAACTTGGAAGATTAATAGGGGGTGCTCCTTGAAGGATCCCGTCCAAAATGGGACACCCACCTATTCAGCTGTGGATAAACAGCACCAGGGACCCCACATTTGCGTGGATTGATTCGGTCGAGCGCATTCAGGACAACGAGCGCCAGGCCGCGCTGGCGGAGGCGCTTAGACGCCAAGCGCTCTTCCAGGAAAGGGAGCAGCGAAAGACCTTCAAGTTGAGGGCAATCTGCGGGGTGACCGGACCCCAGGAAACCCCTTGCGAATGGAATCTGAACATCTTGCTTGGGTGCTTTAGGAGCTGGTCCCACACTTTCAGACTCCTTCTCCGTTCTTTTCCTCTCCACCGTGACATCCATAGATGGATTCACCTGTGCACTGACTGATGCAGTTGGTGGAGGAGACATTATCCGCTTTGTTGGAGAACCAGAATCCTCAAAACTAACCTCCTCTCTTAAGTAAAGAACTGGCAGGCTTTGGAAAAACATCTCCTTCCGCACCCGAATTCTGCACTGCTCATCTTGTCTGCTGGTTGCAAATGAAGATCTGTAGGGATCCCACTTGACCGCCGTCACAGGGGCTCCCAAAAGGATATACAAGCGGTATCAATTAATTCTTCAGACTGTTTGTCGCCCAGGAGCTTTTGAAAATGGTTGCCTCAAAATACCGCACCCCCCTCCCCCCCCACAACGAAGAAGAAGAAGAAGAAGAAGAAGAAGAAGAAGAAGAAGAAGAAGAAGAAGAACAGAAACCCACACATACACACACAAATATGGTTTCCCTTCGATTTTTTTGCAAACCCCACCAAAAAGTCTCGAACTAAAACATGACACCCATTTGGAGCGCGGAGCTAGAGGGAACCCTTTTCAAACCATCTTGAAATGGAAGTCAACCTTGAAAAGGGAACACGCACAGCCCCATCCACTTCCAGGAGGAGCTTGCGAAGCAGCGCGCCAAGCTGCAGAAGCGGGGCAAGGCCAAGAGTGCGGCTGCAGTGCCCGTGGAACTGGGTCGGCAGCTGGAGGCAGGGAGATGAGACCCAAGGTCCCAAGGTTCTACGTGGAGTCATGCCAGTGGATCATGTCCTAAAAGGCAACCCTTGGAATCAGTGGCCGGTATGGGACACATGGGATCCATGATCTGAGGCCACCCTCTTTAGGGTATTGGGTTTTCCAAATCACGGCATCGTGATTTTGTTGGGAAGCGTGTTTTGGTTGTTTGAATCGGAGCAGGACACCAACCCGTCTTTTTGTGTTGGTAACGTTTTTTTGACGGTTTCATGTTTTTGTCGTGGATGGATCGTTTGTTTGGGAGACTTGTCAACATTGTACCGTATTCTATTTTTCCTACAAGGACAGGAAGATTGGATGGCTCCCTGGGGAATTCGGGCCGACACGGCCCCTTTGTTTTTTTCCAAACTTGAGTAGGTTGCCCCCAAGAACGCTGATGCTCATAGTTGGGATGGCTTTTCTGGAGGGTACCTGTTTTGTGTCTGTTTGCAAGGCTGAAGCCACCATGAGGGCCGCCCAAGCTTGAGACATACCCATAGTGAGCCTGAAATTGGACTTGTGTTCAAAAGACATCCCAGAAGAAGGGATTCCTTTCTCAGCTTCAGTTGACACCTAAATCCAGGGTGCCAGTTGAGTCTTCCTTGTTGCTTTGACTGAAAAAATCACTTTTTTGGTGACTTGCTGTTTCCTTACATGAGCAAAAAGCAACCAGCTTTTGGCAAGGGTCGGTTCGACCAACCCATGGTTATGCTTGCGCGAAGATCCAATGGAGATTGGTTTATGGGAGCAGAACTTGAAGCACTCGCCAATTGTGCCAGACTCCCGAATGTCGCTTTCTTGGGTTCCATGCTGGTTTGCAGGGAAGCACTTGGGCAGGAGGTGACTTGCGCTTTCCGTGAAAACCCCTTTCCAGTTGTAAAGTTGACCGCAGCGGTTGTTTCCACCCAACAGTGTGGACTCAGTTCTGACATGGGCAGGCAACTTCTGCTTCCTTGCAAGTTACAGCAATGCTCACAAGAGAACTCACCCCATTACTCTATCCCAGCTAGTTTCTTGTCAACTTGGGGCTTGTGAATCACCGCAGGATGAAGCCGTGTTCATGCACCTGAACCTTGAGCGGGAGGCCGCCATGGAGGAGTTTCGGGTGCACTCCAAACACCGAAACACCCTTCAATCATGTCGGTACTGGAGAAATCAGAGCGAGCTCATTTACTCATCTAAGACCATCTCACCCACGAAGGCTCCCGACCTTGATTTCGAGAGTTCGAAATTTCCTAGTTTGCCCAGATGGCAGCCTGTGATCACTGATGATCTGGCCATAAGCAAATAAGGTCATTATCAAGCTTGTGGGTCGAGTGACTTTGCGGGTGCTCTTCGAAGCAGCAGCAGCGGTCCTAGAAAAAGTCAGTCGACCGGAGAAGGTCTGAACCGTTTGCTTCCACGCCTATGAAGTCAGAGAAGCATTGATACTTGGTTCGATGCAGGGTTCCGTAATTTGACTACCCCAAAGTCGACTTAAACCCAGGGGTTTCCCTGTTGGGGAAATCAACCACCCCTGGGTTTAAGTCCGCTTTGGGGTAGTCAAAAAACGGAACCCTGGTTCGATGTGTCTATCAAAGAAGTCGGCCGTTTGCTTAACTCTGGCGCAACTGGCCGCATGGGCCAGTCAATATAAATATTGTGCTCGACCTTGACTGACATTGGATTCTCTGCAAGGCAAACTACCCACATCTCCTATGGGTGAATTTGGGGGCAGTGTCGTGTTGACCATGTGGGGTTCATTAGTTAGGTGAGGCCATGCGCAACTTTTTTCGGACTCAAAAGTCTAGGGTCCACCCTAGGATTTTTTGCATTTTTTGAATAAGCGCACCAAAACAGCCATTTTAAAACATTTTTTGAAACAGTCTAAACACATTTTGATAAATATTTTTTTAGTACTGCATACCAAAACAAAAATTGAATTATTTTTTGAAAAATTCAATACACCTAAACATGTTTATTTTCAAAAACACACATTTTCCAAAATATTTTAGAAAATATATTTTTTTCAAAAGAGATAAATATATATATCATTTTAAGAAGAATTATTCAATAAGAAACAACATTTTCAATAATTCAATGAGAAGACTAATAATTAATCATTTTTCGAAATTTTGATATTCCGGAGTTGCGCATGGCCCGCCTTGTAGGATTTTATCTTCAATATATAAAACGCTATACTTACATTATAATTATAACATATAAGGGTATAAATGTTATAATCATAGTATGGTTATATTATTCAGGTTCATCAATAATTAGTATAAACCTTATGTGTTTTACTCCTACAATATTCATTGTATTCCTTTCATTATCAATATTTCTACATATTGTTGCAACTGCGTATTCCATTACATCAGTTATATTATCTTGGTCTATAGAACCCATTAAGTGTCTACCACTATGAAAATCAAAACCATAACTGCTATATTCATCATCCTCAAAATAATTAAAATGATGAAACCTTACACGTAAAATTATATCAACTATTATTATTGCTTTATAACTTTCATATCCTACATACTTATCTAGTAAGCTATCTATTTCATCCCCTTCTTTCATAACTATATCTTCAATACTTTCAATGCTTAATGGAACCTTCCTAGAAACATAATATTGACATATTTGTCTCTTTACTTTATCACCATCTAAATTATTACAGTGCTTTGTTTCCCTTTCTATGTCAGTTTTGTCAATTTTATATCTTCTTTGTATTCTCTTCAATGTTTCATTATGATTATGCTTTATTTTCATATATTCTGGCTTGCCATATTTATAGGACATAATATTATTAATAACTTCAACTGGTAGTTTTTGAAACTCCATTTCTATTATATATATATATATATAGTGTTTATTTCTTTAAATACTTTTTTACAAGAAATAAAATTAAATATTGGAATATACTTATAACATATAATATTTTACATGTTATAATCATAGCATGGTTATAATCAAAATCATTCCCCGATTCTATCAAAATCATTCCCCGATTCTATCAAAATCATTCCCCGATTCTATCAAAATCATTCCCCGATTCTATCAAAATCATTCCCCGATTTCTGTCAAACTCATCACAGTTTCCAATATCAAACTACTAGGTATTTTATATAGGTCTTGTTGCTAAATAATTCTAATAAATTCATATTATTAGAAATATCTAGATTTTAATTTCCAACCATTACATATTTATCATCATCGCCCTTAATTAGTTTATAATATTCTAATGTTTGTTCTTTTGGACTTTTGATTTGTCCCTTATTTAACATATCGCAGTATTTTTTACGCTTGGTATCATAATCACCGCTAGGTCTGCCTATCCCTTTCTTTTCAAAAATCTTATTCATCTTCTCCTTCTCTTCGTTGCTTTGTTGTTCGCGTTCAACTGGTTTCATTTTGTCATCAATGGATTTAATCATATCATTTAAGGTTTTGATATTGTTACCAATTAATGTTATCTTCTTCATTAAATCATTAATAGTATAATTCTCATTTTCAGACATTACTATATATTTATTTAGATAATTATTTATTTAATTATATATTTATAAAGTGCATTTATGTTAAATCTACTCTTTAAATACTAACTTATGTCCCTGTTAAAACTAACATTAATCAAATGTTCGTTAGTTTCAATAACCATATCGCCATCTGTTCTTTTCTGAATATTAAAATCTTTATCTGTTTTTTTAAAAGAAAACATACATGGGACACAACTAACTTTAACTCCACCTTTCTTATCTACTGTCAATTCATTTTTAAAATTCATTATGTGATTACATTTATCACATTTTATAGTCTTACTTTCACCCATTGATTTAACACTTTCTGCTGTTTCTTTCCGTGCTTCAATATCTGGTGTTGGTCTTTCTTTGCCTTTACTCTTTTTCTTTTTTCCCATTTATATTAATATTTACATTTTTATTTTTGAGATATTGAATTCCTAACTTAATTATTTCTAATGAATAATAACAACATTTTTTTATTTTATTGTCAGTAATTATTACTTGTTCTATATTCTCCATTTCATCTATTATATTAATATAATCTGTATAACTCCTTTTCATATTAAATAATAAGATAAATTTTTTTTCATTTCTGTCTTTCTTTTCTTGTAAAGTTTTTTCATTGTATCGTCTTTATTCCATCTATATTCTACAAATTTCTGATGATATTTTGAATTTAGATGTTTAAATAAATATTTGTCATCATAAGTTTTACAACAATTGCAATGGATAACAGTCATATAATAATAAGATAAAATAATTATTTAAATTATTTAATCTTATTATTTTCATGCATAATAGAATATTGGTGGGGCACAGCACTTGGGGTTTTCATTGCACACGCGAGAGAGATACAAACTAATTAGCTTCAATGCTTATTGATTGTAGCAATGGAAAACCTGTTCCATTTTTATGATATTCGCCACCAGCATATCATAAAAATGATGTTCCATTTAATATTAATTACAAGTTAATTTTTAAATATAATTTTCTATATATCTTTAATATCAACTATGACAGATGTTCCAATAATAAAACCAATAAACATAACTGAATATGAATTCAAACAATCTAAATATGAGCACGTGCCAAAATTACCATTTAGAAGTATTATAGTCGCGAGTTCAACGGGCGGGAAGACTGTCCTTATTCAAAATTTAATATTGAATGTTTATAGAAATTCATTCGCAAGAATATTTATATTTTCACCCAGCGTCCATAACGACCCTACATTTACAGAAGTTAAAAAATATATCAGGGACGAATTGCACGTAGATGATGAAAAAGAACAAATTTATTTTGATAATTATAATCCAAGTGATTTAGAAAATGTAATTGAAAGACAGAAGAAAATAATTAATTATATGAAATCTAAAAAGATAAAGAAACTGCATTCAATATTAATCGTTATAGATGACCACGCAGACGATCCTAAATTTGTTAGATATAGTAAATTATTACACGGGCTTTTTACAAGAGGCAGGCACGATGCAGTAAGTGTAATTTGTTCAACACAAAAATATAATGTTTTAGCGCCTATCATTCGTTTGAATGCCAGTTCATTATATATTTTTAGGTTGAAAAATGCCAGTGAGTTAATGAGTTTTATTGAAGAAAATAGCGCCATTGTTGATAAACAGCAATTATTAGATATGTATCATCAAGCCGTTAATTTTGCTCCATATTCTTTTTTCTACGTGAATATGAATTCAAAAGACATTAACAAAATGTTTCATATCAATTTTGAACAGGCATTTCAAATTACAAATGATGAATAAAGATATTCTAACTTAATATAATATAATAATATGCCAATGAAACTATGTAGATGTGGTGGATTGTATCGTAGAGGTAATTATAATTTTCATACTAATTCTTGGATACATAAACTTTATAAGGCATTGAAGAGGAGGGCAACAGACGAGGAATTATTAAGATTTCAAAATAATTTTGTTGATGAAGACGCTTCGCCAGAGGCTCGCGAGCTTCGCGACGATTTAATAGATGAAACAAATAGCACTGTTTCAACATCAACGCCAAAAAGTGAAAGAAGTTGTATAAGCAATTAATAGCATTAAGCCATGGCTTAATGTTATTAATTCAAAATAAAGAATAACTACATAGATTCAAAGCAGGTAATTTATAATATATTTTATCTTTTTTACATTCATTAACTTTTTCTAATTTATTGATTATTGCTTTCAATGAATTTATTTGTAGAATATCAATTCTTGACATTTCACTTATCGTATTTACATCTATATCTTTTATTACTTTAATAGCCTCTTCATCATCAATTTCTACTGGTTTTGATTTACTTGAACCCATTATATATAATATTATTTAGATTTTAATTTTTCAAAATTGAAATGTTGGTTTTCTTCTTCTTCATCTTCGTCTTCAGTTGGTGCTGGTATTTCTGTTGGACTTTCAGATGAAGAACTATGAACAGTAATAGGTGGAGAACTATGAACACTAATAGCTTCATTTGATGAATTGCTACTGCTACTTTGTGCATTTCCTGCTGTTATTTGATTAACTAAATCTGCGATATTTATTGTTGTTGCAATTGCGCTATGTGATAAGTTTA